GTCTTTTGGGTATATCCCCAAGAGTGGTATTGCTGGATCAAATGGTAGATCAATGTCCAGCTTTTTAAGTAGTCTCCAAATTTTTTTCCAGAGTGGTTGTACTAGTCTACATTCCCACCAACAGTGTAAGAGGGTTCCTTTTTCCCCGCACAATGGCCAGTTTTATGACTGCAGGAACACCTAGGAACTAACAATGCTGAGAAGTTGTTGTTGCATTATTTTAAACTTCTAAAGTTTGACTACTAAAATTCTTAATAAAATTATAATAATGATCCAACTGTTAAATAAACACAGATTTGTTTTATATCCTAGAAGTACTAATTTTAACAATTGGCCCTTCTCCATTCAGACAAAATATGAAGTTAATAAACCTTTTCAAAATCCTCCAAATGACTTTTTGACTAAAAATTGAATTCAAACTCCTTATCATAGTCTACAAATTCTTGCATGAGCTGGCTTACTCTGGCTTCCAGTTCCATCCATTGTTCTCTGTGCCCTCCCCTTCCCCCTCATTTTTATTCACTGTGGTCTCTCCTTTCTTTCTCCAGTACATTTTCCTCTTTCTGGTCCTTTGCTTTGTCTTTCCCCTCCCCTTTTTTTTTTTTTTGTTGTTGTTGTTATTGTACTCAGGGCCTCATGCTTGTAGGCACACGCTCTACCACTTGAGCCCCTCCGCCATCCACCAGCCCTGTTTGTGTTGAGTATTTTTGAGATGGGGTCTCAGGAACTACTTGCCTGTGTCAGTCTTAAACTGAGAGCCTCCTGATCTCTGCCTCCTGAGTAGTCAGGATTATAGTGTAAACCACTGGCATCTGGTTTCCCTCCTTTTTATACTACTTAAATCTCAAACCAGATTATCACCTCATCAGAAGTCAAGTCATCTAAAGCACTCCACCTCCCTCTACATCTGCAGTTATCACGTTAGCATGTTTCATTTCCTTATCTGAAATTATATTTTCTTATATACTCATTGTCTGTCTACCAGAATTGTCAGTTCTATGAGTGTAGGAACTTTGTCTTGTTCACGATTGTATCCTCACTACTTAGACCAGTACCTAGCGTGTAAAGGGTGTTCAAAAACCCTTAAATGAACATGAATATGATATTTAATAAGAATGCTCTTAGTTTTAAGCAGGTCAAAGGACCAGGTGTTTACATCCTAAAGCCAGGTGTTAATCTGCCATGTAAGGTAAACTAAGAAATTATGGCTGGGCCATATGCATCACTCACCTCCAGCCCTTGGTGTGGTGGGGTGGACATGATGACTTATAAGGAGTATTGCTTTGGAGGTACCTGATACTTACGTGCCCCCCTCCACATACACTCCCCACACAGGAAAAAGGAGATTCCTCTCCTTACCTCAAGCTATGTGATAGGAGCTTTCAGGGAAGCACTTGGAGAACTTGATACTTGTCTCCTCGAGTCTAGGGAATGCAGGACTGGGATCTGATATTTTGCTGAGAAAACCAAAGACAGAGAAGAGAGAAGTACGTGGGCAAGGGGAGAAATGTTGGGGATAAGATGCATCTTTACTTACTGTAGATATATACAAATTTTTCATTGGGGGAAAGTGTACTGAAGTCTGCAGTTAACATTGATATGCACGAAAAAATAAGACTAACTGATGGAGTGGATAAAGGGAAGGAAGGATGGATAGCCATATGATAAAGAAGGGTAGCAAAATGACCCGAGGGATTGGTGGGAGGCAATTCTGCCTGAAGCCATTTTAACAGGGATTCCAGCTAAAGAGGATGTCTGTCTGAGCCTCAAAGGGATCGAAGAGAGGGGAGAACCCTCAGAAGACTGAGTGTTAAGGTCATAGTGGCTGTCCTAATCTTCCATTTCCCTCTCACTACCCAAAAAATCTGGAGGAATTTAAAAGTTTAATCAGAGAGCGGTTAAGGAAAAGGAGATACAAACATAAAAAAGTAGAAAACAAAACAGAGGTAGACCATGCCACATTCCCCACTGCAGACTTTCATTCTGAAGCAGAACTGAGCAGGGTGAAAAGGAAAAGCTTTGATTTGTAATGAAGTGTGTATGACCTTCATTAGATTTCACCCCGGGAAAAAAAAAGAAATAGTCTTCAGTGAATTTAAAGAGGCAGTGCAGTAAAAAATAATTTTCTGCTAGTATCCTATTGATTCCTGCTCATCCAAAAAGAGGCAGGTGCCTAACACAGTCACAACCCGGAATGAAAGAATCCTGATTTAATGTTAAATCATGTGATGATGTATTCACTGTGTATTTATTGAGTGCTTGCTACATACTAGGCATTGGTACAGAGACTGAACATACGACAGTGGGTAAGACAAACATTTGACATAAGTAGAGAACTTTAAAGTCATGAGGGTAATGGTAATATTCTATGTCTTGATGGAAATTTGGGTTACACAGGTGCATGTGTTTAAAACTAGACTTGGTGACAGCTTTTGTCCTTTTGATGTAAAATGTACACATGATGACATGTACATACCTTAAATATATATATTTTTTGCTGACTTTTAACAAGTGTGCGCTCAGCATAACTGCCTTCCTTCAATGTCAGCAGTAACCGTGCTTCCTCCTTCACTGAGAGCAAAAGCCAGAAGACTAGCATTGCTTGAACTCTCTGCACCAAACATAAATTTATTTTTTCTTCCTTTCGTTGTTACAGTGAATATGTCCTCCCTACTTCCACAGGAGGCCAATTTCTTCCTCTAGTTTTTGTATCCTCTTCCCTCCAAACTTCTCAGAGGACTTGCTCTGTGGCATCCAAATATGTGAGGTTTTTGTTTGTTTGTTTTGTTTTGTTTTTTGGTGGTACTGGGGTTTGAACTCAGGGCCTTGCCCTGCTAGGCAGGTGCTCTACCACTTGCTTGAGCCATTCCACCAGCCCACCATTTCCTCTTCTTGAAACAACTTTCCCTGCTTCTTCTCATTTACCCATCACAGCTCCTACTCCAGATCTTTGCTTAGATGCTGTTTCTTCAGCTATGCCTGTTCAGACTTTATATCCTTAACTATCAAACTTCCCTTTTTACAACACTCGTCTTACTTGTAATTACTTGCTGTATGTGTATCTTGCCAACAAGACAAACATAGACTTTGCTCTCACAGTGTCACATTGACGGCTGTACATTCAGCGCATAGCATACTACCTGGCACAATAAATACTTGTTGCTGAATGAAATAACTTGCATTTATTTGTATCATCTATAAAATATGTATTTCTAAATGTCTTCATTTTCTCCATAGTTTTAACTTTTTCTAACGGCAATTGCCATCACTTTTAAATAAGAAAGGGATCATGACATTTTGTTCCTGTAATTCTTATAATTTCTTAAGCTTCTGTTTTTATATTTTACATCAATTATCTTACACATAGAGGATTCTCAATGAGAACAATTTCAGACATAAAACCCTATAATGGGGTGGGCAGAGTGGCTCAAGTGGTAGAGCACCTGCCTAGATGCGTGAGGCCCTGAGTTCAAATCCAGTACCACCAAAAAAATAACAAAAAACAAAAACCCTATAGTGTGGAAAGATCTTTGGAGATCCCATATTTAAATTTCTTCCTAAAATTCTTCAGAAGAGAAAAAAACCTACAGCACGTTTACTACTGCATTGTGTTTTTACTCATATGAGGGTATCTTATGGCTAGAGACCACTAGAGGGAAGACAACTTGAAAATTAGAATTCACGTTATCTTTCCGTTGTGAAGGAGAATGATCATCTGTTAGTTTACATAACTACACTGTATAAATAGATTCACTTTTTTAGCAACCATAAATTCATTCAGCATTCACTGAATCTTGACAAAGTTTGTAATAGATACCAAGGTCCTAGCATTACATTAATCACACGTTTGCAACATTCATAAATACATGTACGACTTAAACACAGGTGAATACAGAAGAATAAAACCAGACAATGAGAGATCTCTGTGTGCAAGTATACCAGTCTCTCCTTACAAGTTGTTTCTGCTGCCAGCCTTCACCAGTCTCAGTGACACAATGTAGCTCCTTTCAGGGGGCCAAAATACAGTATTAACAGGAGTACATTTAGGGACTTCACAGATCAGCCTCATCTTAGAGACTTGTTCAACTAAAACAGGATTAACAATGTAGACTAACTGAAGGGGTAATTCCAATCTTTATTGACCTCTCTGAAGTATGACATTGCAAATTTCTTTAAATCACTTTCATTTTTCCAGCTATGGACCTCAAAGTGTCCCACACAGCTGCCACCTCTACCTTCTTTCTTCACTTAAGTGTAATTTAGTTTATCCATTTATAGTTCTTTCTCACCCTGGAGCTGACCGTGCAAGAACACTTCAGGGGTGTGTGTGTGTGTGTGTGTGTGTGTGTGTGTGTGTGTGTGTGTGTGTGTGAGACCTTTGCTAACAGAAATTAACTACCTGTTGGGTGGTGTGAAAGTACACTTAGGGTTCTGAGATGGGACAAATCAGCCTGGCATTGGCCCTGGAGGTGGACCTAGACCAGAACAATCAATCAATTAGTAAGTATTTGTGGGGCTAACAAGACTTCTTTCCTATGGCTACTCTGCGTGTGCATTTTTTTTGGGGGGGGACACAAGATCCCATTATTTTCATTCCTTTACTCTCAAGACTCCTTTTATGGGGTAACACGAGGAAGGCTCACATATACAGCGAGCAGCCCAACGCTCTCCCAACGTCACTAAGAGGTGGTTTTGGGTCCTGACGAGGTCTCTGAGGCCCCTGAAGGCTGGAGTAATCCCAGTGTCCTGGGTCCCAAGTGTCCAACGGTGCTGTAGTTGGGCAGTCCAGGGAGCAGTATGGCTTTATTGCAGGCACCAAGCGCCGGCATCCCACGTGGCCTCGCTGGGCCTGCATCATTCCGGCAGCCGGTGCGCAGGCTCCGCCCCCGATCCTCCCCCAGCCTCCCTGCCCCCCACCCCCCGTCCGCGCGCCTCCACTTCCGGCTCCGCCTCCCGCGCTTTTGGGCATCGCCGGCTTCCGTCCCAGATGATCCCTCCTCGGGGCCACCGCCGCCGCCTCCTCCTCCCGGAGCTGCAGTCGCCTCCTCTGCCAGTGGCGTAGCCGACGGGGCGCCGCAGAGCCGGGCTGGACGCGAGCGGGGGGCCATGGAGAAAGCGGCCCGAGGCGCCCCGCACAGCGACTAGAGCAGGCCGGCTGCGCTGCGGGCGCCATGGACCGAGCGCCTGCGGACCAGGTACGCGGCCCTGCCGGGGATCCGGGGGTCGGGGTGGGGGGCCGTCTCCGGGGGTCACCGGGACCTCGCGGTCCAGGACGCGGTTCCAAGCCTGGGGCCCCGACGGCTGCAGGCCCCCGATACCCCCCGCCGCCTGCGCCCCTCTATTGCTCCAGCTGGGACTTGGGGGACCCCCCCACTCACGTCACCTCGCCTCAGCTCCTGCGCTCCAAGTTGTCTGGGGACCCCTGTTCCCCCAGTGCCTGTCGGTTCTGGGGCGCGCGTTCCAGGTCCGCTCTGGGCCCTTGGAGAGCCCGGTGTACTTGAGCGAAGTGTTGTTTTTGCAATAATGCCGTAAGGAGGAGATAACCACGCTTTCCCTCGTCTTCCTATTCAGCTATTTTGCAAAAATTATCGTTAGTTTTTCTTTTTTTTAAAGGAAGCTTGCATGTTAAGGAGCAGCTCCTTTCCCAGCTCGTTTTAATATTTACAAAATAGTCCCATTTGTGTTCTGTTTTAAAATTGCATCAGATTTTTGATCGGTTCTGGGAGGTGGGGATGACAATAGAAAAATAATCTAAAATCATAGTTTTCATTCTTTCCCCCACCCCCTCGCCTGTATTTTCCAGTGTTAAGGTCACCACGAAACGAATTGATTTGATGGAGTCTTTTAATTTTGTTTACTCTCCATTCCTCTCTTCCAAGGCCTCGCCCTGGGATGAATTAAGCAGATAGTTGAAGGAAGAAAAAAGGCTAGTGATTTGCCTGTTAATTTTACAAATAGATAATTAGCACCTGAATAAAAACACAGGATTTCCCCCAAATTCCCTCATCTGTCTAGACTGTTGTTAGAGCCAGTTTGGGTTTTGAAAGTGGACGCTTAGTAGTCAAAACACAGCTTCCTACTCGTGTATATTTGTTTTACACGAGTGGTTTTTGTTTTATTTTGTTTTGCTTTCTTTCATTCTTTTTTTTAAAGTTAGGGTCGCTTGTCTTGTTGCCCAGGCTGACCTGAAACTCCTGTGCTCAAGTGATCCTCCTGCCTCAAGCCTCCCATAGTAGCTGAGACTACAGGCAGGCCTCATGTGCTCTGCAACATACACAGCTTTAATTTTAAAAAGAGACTAAAATGTAAAAAGCTTTATGTGACTACAACTCTGAAAACACTAATCAGTTTTAGAAAACAGCATGTGATGAATTACCAAAGCAGAATTGATGTGGGGGCATCTTGGCAAATACACACAGAACTTCCTGTGATCCAAAGAGTTCTTCTATATCCAATTTAATTTAAGAATTGTTTTTGAAGGTATTTATCAGAAACAACGGAGATTTCAAAACTAGACAAATGAATAGGAAATTCCCTTCAACTATTTCCTTGTTATGTGTGTCACTAATGAAAGGGGTCCTTCACTAAGATGCTCAAACTATAAACAGTAATGCTACCATGTGTATACTTAAGGTTCCTTTCATCCAGGAGGAGATGTAATTAACTATTTAGATGGTAACTTTTAGCATAGCTGTTTCTGTTGCATTTATCTAAAGAGCAAGTGTTATAAGCAAATTCTTTAGAGTCTCTTCCTCCCAAAGTTCACAACCTATTAAAACCTTGTGGAAATTTAAGAGCTAGAGAAAAGCCATGAAAAAGATTTTCATTTGAAGTTTGTTTCCTCTCAACCTTACCCTAAATGGGAGGATAATCTGAAATTACATTATGTTCCCATATTCTCTGAAAACAGATGTAGAAAAGTGATGTGTCTGCCTACTTCATGGATTAGGCAGTTAATTCTGGGGACTCTTACTGGCCTGGAAGGAGTGCACTTCATCTTATTTATGCCTTTTTTTAGCGGGGAGGGGGTGGGTGGGGTGAGGGGGGTAGGGGGGGAGGAGAGGAAGAAGAGATTGAACTGGGGGCCTGGTGCTTGCTGGCAGGTACTCTACCACTTGAGCCACAGCCTTTTTTTGCTTTAGTCTTTTTTCAGATAGGGTCTTAGTTTTTGCCCGGGGCTGACCTCAGACCATGATCCTTCCAGATGTCTGCCTATCCAGTAGCCGGGATTACAGGCATGTGTAACCACGCCTCGCTCTGGTCCATCATTTAAAAAAGGCTAAGCACCATTGCCTTACTTGGAGTGGAGGGGACTGAGATTTCTCAAATTTGTGGAATTCTTGGTTCTTTGCACTGTACCATACAGTAATGATTTGGCTTTTCCAAGTATTTGGAATATGCTTTTATAGTTGTACTGAAATGAACTCATAGGTGAAAGTCATTATAAGGTATATGTGGCATGTGCTGAATTTCCTTATGTTTTGTGTTTTTTCCTTTTAAACCCATGTTGGCTTATGTTCAAAATTTCTGGAAATGCCTACAGCATTAACCATTGTAGCAGTTAGCAATTTGCAGGAATTTGACTTTTAAACAATACTACTTATTACAGACTTTTGCATTTCATCTTAGCCTAATTAAATCCTTGAAGTACTGTACAAGGGTAACTTTTTTAAAAAAGGTAAACATTTTGGAGCCGAAGCCATTCATGTTGCTGTTCTTACAAACTACCTATTTGTATTTGTACTATTTTCAGTTTTTTTCTTTATTCATTTATTCATATGTGCATACATTGTTTGGGCCATTTCTACCCCCTGCTCCCTAGCCCCTCCCTCTCCCCACCACCCCCCCTGGCTTCCTGCTGAATCTGTCCTGCCCTTTTCTACAATTTTGTGGAAGAGTAAATCTTTTTATGCAAAGGTAAATTTTACTTATGTTGATCAGATTATAAAAAGTAAGGATGGGAATACAGTGCTAGGTGGATAATATTAATCACAATAGTGATGATTTGAAGGAATGTTATAACCAGAAGAGAATCTCTTTTAGCGAGATTATTAAATCAAAACTTGTGGCTTAATTTTAACTACCAGAGTTAGATGTTGTAAGAACTTGATACAGTGCATTTCTTTTCCTGAAAAACAAAGCAAAACAGGGTGTGTAAGGGGATGTGAAGAATAAACTATGGGATTCATTTTGTTGCTAAAGTTTTAGTGTCTCTCTTTTTAGGAAGTTTAGGACAGTGTTTTGATATTTTAAAATAAACAGTGAGCTTAGAAGTGACAACACTTGAGATTCACAGCCTCTTGTATTATCACAGTAATTTAAATGTTGGCTTAATTTTAACTTTAAGTAAAATTAAATTAACTCGTAAGTACATTAAAATTAACTCTGAATACGTTAACTTTAGATAAGTTTTTTAAAAAAAATTTGCAAACTGTTGGTTCTTAGGCTCTTTAATTCTTAGAAAAACAAACTTTTAACAAATACATGTGATTTCATGGAGGGTTGTTCACCAAGGAGAATACAAAATAGTTTGACTTACAGTTTGTTCTTTAAAAACCTAATAAAGTTCAAATAAAATAACAGCACTACAAACTAAACAAGTAGTCATTCCTCCATACCTATAGGTTCTGCATTCTTGGATTCAACCAACTGTGCACTGAAAATATTTGAGGGGAAAGTGGGTCTGCACTGAACCATGTACAGGCTGTTTTTCTGTGTTCTAACAAATACTTACATAGCACTTGCATTGTATTAGTATTAGAAGTATTGTAGAGGTGGTTTGCAGCACACAGGAGGACACGTGTAGGTTAATGCACCATTTTATGTAAGGGGCCTGAACATCCATGGATTCTTACTGTCTATGTTGGGAATCCTGGAACCAACGCCCCCAGATATGGAGGGACAATAATATTTTAAGTAAGTTACTATGAAGGGTTTATTACTCAGGAATACTTACAGTTGGCCTTCATATATGGATATAAATAACCTATCTTATTAGATTTTTTTAAGTAATACTTTTAAAATCAGAAAGTAAATATGTGCTCATTTAGGAAAAAAAACTTGGAAATTTAAAGACATTCTCAAGTCTTAAGGTCAAAGAAGAAATTAAAAAGTAGAATGAGAGGTTATATTAAGTATAAAATATTTTAAGATATTTTAAGGCATAAAAATCACATTTGAAAACTTGAGATAAGGCTCATAAGTTTACTTTGAGGCAAATGCATAGTTATAAATGCTTTCATTGTTAAACAGTTTAAAAGGAAAATGAAATTATCCATCCAAGGCAAAGAAGTTAGGGAAAAACCCCATCAAAGCAAGAGAGAAGATAATAAATGTAAAAACAAAGTAAGTGAATTAGGTCATCTAAAAACTCATATTAAGTCTAGAAAAGTACCATCAGATTTTAACAGGATTAGAGCTGGCCTGTTTTAAGGAAAGGGGCAAAATGAATGTTGAGGGAAGCAAGTGGACAGAGGCTGTGTTAAATGCTTTGATTTTTTTTTTTTTCCTCCAGTATTTTCTGGACTCTTAGAAAACTTTACAGCTAGTTTGTTTTGGCAGCGGGTTGCTTTCAGTATAAGCCAGTGCATTCACGAGACAACACAGCCAGCAGGTATCTGAAGCATTAGCCATTTTTTTTTTCCTTCAGAAGACTTTTATCTGTGGCCACGGGATATAAAATATCTCAATGTTTGATGTATTGTATTTTTACCTTAGCACAGAATATGGAGGGTTTCCATGGTCATATTTTTTTCTGTGGGTGTGTGGTACATACTCTGAAGTTTCACTGTGGGAGAATGTCTCATTATGTTCTACTTCAGTTTTGATTTTAAGTGGGTGTCATTTTTCTGTTGCTTAATCTGGGAAAATTATTTGCATTCTCCTGGAGGCCCTTTCCCTTGAGAAGTTTAGCGTATTCTTTGCTGATGTGTGCTTCTTAAACCGTTGCCATTTCCCTTAAACTGCTCTGGTACAGTATGTGTGCTCAGTGCAGATTTGTTGAACTATATCATTTGTCAGTGATCTAAATACATTTGTCTAATAAGCTCTTTTAAGCTAGGTTTTTATAGTTTTGTGTTCTGATAAATTCATTGGTTTTCTAGACTATTTATTAGTTGACATTTGCTTTAATATATACAAAATTAAAAATAAGTGAAACTGCTTAAGTATTTTTTCAAAGACAGGTTTCTGGAATTACTCTTATTTTTTATTAATTTGGAAAATGCTGAAATAATTTCTGAGAAATAAAGATAATGTTACCATGTAGTTGGATTTCTTTTGAAGCAGATAGTAGTGCAAGAATGATTATACTGTATTCAGTATAGTTTAGACTTAATTCTATGCTTATATTTTCTTTAAAGAGTCAGCTCCTTGCTATGAAATTTCAGGTTCCCTCCCCCCCCACAAAAAAGAAAAAGATTATGGCAGAGGTAGAGAGATGAAAGAAAGCTGGAAATTCGTACTGAGGAGTAACATTGAATAAAGCAGCTTGTCTGATTTTTCCACATTTTGTTGTCTTCTGTGCAAGATATTTTTCTTTGATTTCTACACTAATATTAAATAGTGCCAGAATCTGTTGTTGACATTGTATTACCTCTGTGGACTTTATTATGTGAAATTTTAAGAATTATTTGGAATTTTATTGCTGGTTGGGCCGGAAAACAACAGTGGTGTGTATTTTGCTATATGATCGATAACGAAGTCTTCAAAGTCACAATAAACAACTTTGAAACTGTCAGAACTGTAGCTGTAGGAGAAGTTTGTCAGTCTGTTCCTACTGGTGATGTCTTCTGTTTGTGCAGCTGTCCACCAATGCAGCTCCTTGCTTTTTTGCTAAAAACAAAGGATCATTTCAGGGTTGGGGCGTTTAATTGTTGAACTCTGCTATCTAGAATTGTACTTAAAATAGAAACCAATACAAACCTTACTGTTTATAAAGATATGTGCTTGATATGTATAGACATTCATTATAAATGCTACATGAAACTTTTGAATAGTGGATCGCTTAAATTCATAGATTTTTTTTTTCATTTTTTAAATCTATTATTATTGTACTGGAGGTACATTGTAACATTTACTGAAGTTCTTAAAATATATCATAATTGAATCCCCCCCATCATTCTCCTTTCTCACCTCTCCCTTTCATTAGGTCTCATTTTTATACATGAGTACAAAATATTTCCGCCACATTCACCCTCCTTCACCCTTTCCTTATATCAAGTGAAACTGGGCATAAAAATTTGTTGCAACTTTTACCTGAACAAGAATTTGAACTTGTTACCAAAGTAATTGATGAAGGATTTTTTTTTTTTTGAGGGGGCAGGTGCAGGAAAATTGCTATTTTAAGTTATTTATAATTATGTTATTCTTACTCCTTGCTTTACCAAAAAAAAAGTCTAATAGTCCAGATTTATAAAACCCTTCTAGTTCTCATATGTTCAGAAGAACTTCTTGATTTTTAAAAGAAGTCCTAAAAATAACATTTTTAGTGCTGTTAAAATGTGGTTTAAGGTTCCCCTCTTGTGCATGTGTGTAAATGATACAAAGCAGGTTTTCATTATCTGTGCAATATTGTTGGAAGTCAGCTCTTTTCCTAATTGGGGATACATTTGTTATTTTGATATGGTACACGTATATGAATAAGTTTTGAATTCTAATGAGTATCACAGAGAATTACTAACTTATTAGCATTTAAAAGTGGCATTACCTATGTTACATAATTCAAGAAACCAACCTCAGGTCACAGATACTGGGGTTACTACTAACTACTTCAGATTTGGTTAATAGTGCAAGAGTGGATTCCAAAGTTAGATCAGATAGGGAGGAAGGGTATTGACTTAATACTGCTGTGTAGTTCAGGTTTCTTTCCCTACCTGCTAATAAGTATTTTGAATACTTAAAGTGGAATGTTTTATAATAACTTTTCTGAATAAAAAGCTTTATGTTATGCATATTAAGTGTTGTCTTTGGATTTTCATGGATTTGTTACTAACTGCTTCTGTGAGAAGTGATAGCCATGCTTGGGTGGGAGCTTCTGATGAATATCACCCTACTGAGATGATGGGAATACATTCTGGTTAGGACTGCTGCTTTTAAGGTAGTTGTTTCATGTACTTAAAACATTGGCTTGCATTTCACTAACTTGTTTCATTGAAAGAAGTGTTTAGTGTCTTTAGATTATAGTACTTTTATTATAATGCTTCTTTTGCAGAATATACCTGTGGGTTTTTTATAGTTCAAAAATTCAAATTTGTTGTTTAATACGTCATACAGAAAACTGTGAAACCAATGTACGGTTTGATAAATCCTTACAAGGTAAACACTTTTTAAGTTTCACCCCAACAGAATATCAGGTACCCTAGAAGTTCTTGAGGTGCCACCTCCTAGTTTCAGGTCCCTCTTTCCTAAGTAATTTCTATTCTGACATTTGTTGATCTTATATACTTTTCTTTATTAATTTTGTCACTCATATGTGCATCTGTAGATACTATAGTCTTAAAAATTTTTTAAACTATTTATAGATTTATTATAAGATAAGACATAAAGGATGCTAAAATGGAGTGCATATTATGGATTACATTGGTTTGCTCAAATGTCTACTGGGAAACTGGAGTTCTCATTCTTTTCTCTAGTTTAAGTGTGAACCAGAATTTTTTTCTCTCTTACATTAAGTATTTTTTGATTCATCTTAGACATTTTCCTTCCTTTTATTTTAAGAATACTAATCTAATTTCCTGAAATTGACAGAAATAGACTATTTTTTAAACTATTCAAACAAATGTAATTATTCTTCAGAACTCTGTTTAATGATTTTTCCCCCTAACAAAATTAGTTAAAAACGCATTGTTTTGTCTGAAGAGAAGAGCTAGATTTCTTTCTACCACTTTATTTTTAGATGTTGAAGTATGACTTCCCTTGTGCGCTTGATTGTTTTAACAGCTTTGATTACATAAGAAATTATTTCATTGAAATATAGTAACCTTTGATAAATTTTTCCTTACTTCATTAATGACTTTGTCTAATAACTTCATTTACATTCAGTTATTTTTAATTGCTCTTCCTTTTGTGTATTTTGCAAATACGGAGAAGAAACCTAATTACCGTTTGTGAAGATTGGCTCTTGTGTTTGTAAAGTGTGAGTTTGTATGGTTTGCTCACTCGTTACTCATGCCTTCCACTTTCTCTTTGAAGAACATTAAGCTTTCAGCTGAAGTAGAGCCATTTATTCCCCAGAAGAAGAACCCAGACCCGTTTATGATCCCAATGGCCCTCCCAGGTGATAATGGAAGTGTCTCTGGAGCAGAACCAACTCCAATCCCCAGCTACCTGATTACTTGTTACCCATTTGTTCAGGAAAACCAGTCCAATAGGTAACTTCTTTATTATTTTCTTTATTATGTGTGTGTGTGTTGGGGGGGGGTAATAGAACTTGGTAAAGCATACTCAGTCTTTGTCTTTTTTTTTTTTAACTTTTAAACATTAATCATTTATTTGTTTTTTTTAAGAAGAGAAAATGCACCTAAATGATGGTAGAAATTTGAAAATCGTTGACATGGATTATATTCTCATTTTTTTCTAAGAGGAAATAAAATTTTTGAGTTTTCCCTTTTATTAAGTCATTAAATTTATTTGAAATAAATTGACCCAAAGGGAGAAGTGAAATATTTAGAAACCCCTTTTTGAGATCAGTTGTCTTATCTGATAATTGCCAGGGCAGTGTCTGATATAAGAAGAAAATACCAAAGGTTAGTTTTAACTTTGACATTTTCATGGTTAGGCAACTTGTAGTTCTAGACTGTGATTTTAGCTTAAATTTGGTGTTCATGCTATCATCAACTGCAAAAGTGCCTATAATTCAGGCAATGTATGACACAGTGGTTAGGGTGTTAATTGTGACAGTCGTGATAGCCTTGCTGACCTCTTCCACTGTCTGAGTCACTGGCACCTCATTGCTGTAGTTTGTTTTATTGCTGTATAGAAGTGCTGTCAGCTTTTTTCAAGGTACATCACATACAGAAAATTGTATTTTTCCAGCACTGTGTGGTAAATTGATGATGCAGCTGATGGCTTTAGGCTCTGCCTAACTCTCTGAGGGCTTAGGCAACCAGTGTTTTCTCACATGTGTAACCCATATGGCACTAGTGTGGCAGTGCACATTCTTTGAGAAATTCTGGATGTATAATTTATAAGGTCACTTACAAACTTCCTTCTCAAATATTAAATGTTCAAGTTAATATTCTGAGATCCTTAATAAAGAGTGTTAGGATCATACCTGTAATCCTAGCTACTCAGGACACAGAGATCAGGAGGACTGCTGTTTGAAGCCAGCCTGGGGAAATACTTCTTAAGACTTTATTTTGAAGATAAGCAATACCCTTTGCAGGAGGGCGAATATGGTAGAAATACTGTGTACTTATGTATGAGTGGAAAAATGAGACCTGTTGAAACTATTCTAAGAATGGGGGAGGGAGGGATAAAGGAGAATAATGGAGGGGATGAATTTAACTAAGATATACTATGAACACTTGTGTAAATGTCACTGTGTACCCCCAGTACAGCAATAATATGATAATAAAAAAAGAAAAGAAAAACGAGCAAATAGGAAAAATAAAAAGAGAAAATACCCAACACACAAAAAGGGCTGCCAGAGTGGCTCAAGTGATAGAGTACCTGCCTAGCAAGCATGAGGCCCTGAGTTCAAACCCCAGTACTACCGAAAAAAAAAAAAAAAAGTTTTAGAGGTTGGACAAACAGTAGAAACTAAGGATTCCTCTCAGTTGAAGTTATCATTATATTAAAAATCTTATACTGTGCAAGATGATTCATAAAATAAATTTAATAATACTGTTTTCCTATTTGGCAGAATGATCAAGTGTTCAGTGTAATAAATTTAATTTGTTTTCTTGCCTTATCAGATAATCTTTGAGAATTCATGAGTAAGCCAACCTTCAGATTATTTTTGAACAGTTTAGACTTTTTTAGTGAACATTTTTCCATTTTGCTTTGTCATCACAGAAGACAGTGAGGAAAGGCTTCGACTGCCCACTCCCAAGGACCTCTATTCAGAAGCAGCAGCCTTTGGCAAGAGGGCTGCTGAGAGGAAGAAATCTTGCTGTGCTTTGTAGGAAGTGCATTAGAAGAAGCTGCAATACTGAGGATAAGATGTCAGTGGAGAGGCTTGCCTCTTTTCTTCTCTTCCTTGGACCTGGAGCCTGCTTCTGTTGCCAAGGAGAGAAGCCAGGAAAAGAGCTGGACTTGGCCAAGTAGTTAGGGGAATATGGGAGAGGAGTAGGAGGTCCTGGAATGTGCTAAAAAATGAGAGGTGGAAGAAATCACCCTGTGTAATGATAACCTTACACAGTGACCACCTTTGCTTTTTGCAGAAGTCTGTCACAGTTGTTAGCATTGGATAGGAACTTTGGACTGGCATATTTGCAGACCACGTAGCTTGGTGTTTAGCTTTTAGTCAGAAATATCTTGAAGAAGTTGAGGGCAGGGTTGCAAATAATAATGGTATGTGGAATGCCATAAAACTATGAGGCTGGATTTCTTTATACTGTCATTTAAATCATTATAACAGGTACATGATACTCTCTAATTATAGCAAAGAAATTTATAAGATGTTAATTTTGTTTTTTATTATGCAGCAACTGTTCTGTACTTTTTTTTTAATTAAAAAAAGAGACAAATTTTGCTTTAGCAGTATTTTTAGACTTGGCAATACATTTGTTCTTTTTTGATTTGGTTTTGCAGACAGTTTCCCTTATATAACAGTGATATACGATGGCAACAGCCCAACCCAAATCCTACTGGACCATACCTTGCCTACCCCATAATATCTGCTCAGCCACCTGTTTCTACAGAATATACATATTACCAGCTGATGCCAGCACCCTGTGCCCAAGTAATGGGCTTCTATCATCCTTTTCCTACACCTTACTCCAACACCTTTCAGGCAGCAAGCACTGTAAATGCTGTAACCACAGAGTGCACTGAGCGTCCAGATCAGCTGGGGCAGGCCTTCCCACTGTCCAGTCATCGGAACAGGAGCAGTAACAGAGGACCGGTAGGACCAAAAGTAAGTGATTATCTTTGTTTGGCTTTTAAATCTGATGTTTCTGTTGTTAATTCTAGTATAAGTAATTTGCTCTTTGTATTGATTGGCCTTTAATCTCTGAATTTACTGCAAAATATTTCATTCACTAATAAAAAGTATCATGGGAACATAGTTTTAAAATTCATTTTTTCTGTGATGTTTATAGTTACTCAGCCTTGATTGGTGATGTAATTTACAGTCATCTTCATGTCCCCTTAGAAAGTTTTACATAAACATAATACACAGTCATTTCCAAATTATTTTAATTTTGTGATAAAAATTCTCCAGTGACACCACCATTAAGTTGGTGCTAGGAGTGTTGAATAGCTAATGCACTTCAAGTCATTTTGCTCTTCAGAAATCAGCAGGAGACATGGAAAAGAACGTTTGTGATTCGTTAGATCTCTTCAACTTCATTGTTTCTAGCCTGTGAATTTTTAGTAGGAATAACACTTTGTTATTTATGAGATGCTTTACTCTTACATGAATGAAGGGTCTCTTAAGTCTGAAGGGAATGAAAGATAAATATGTGAAACTACTTTTATTCAGGACCAGCCATTTGACTAAGGGAAAAAAAAATAAATGACCTTAAAATCACAAGAGAATTGAGGTTTATTCTAGGTCTCTTTTTCCATTGAAGCTTTAGTATCAAAACTAATCAGAAGATAAATATGTGAAACTACTTTTATTCAGGACCAGCCATTTGACTAAGGGAAAAAAAAATAAATGACCTTAAAATCACAAGAGAATTGAGGTTTATTCTAGGTCTCTTTTTCCATTGAAGCTTTAGTATCAAAACTAATCAGAAGAAAAACCTGTTTCTCATCAGCACTTGGGGGCTGATGGAGACATATCCTATGACTGTTGCCATCCAGAGTTGATTTCCCCATATTCCATTAGCCCTGCTTCTTCAGTGAAAAGTCTTTGCTGCTTCCCGGCATAATTTTTACAAACTAAAAACCAAGCAAGCCATAGAGGTGATTTTGAAAACCTGTTTTGTCTTTGTTCATGGAAACACCTTGGGTCAAGGGACCAACTTTTGGGACCTCTGAGAATGAAAAGAATTATATATTAAAAACAAGGTAAGAATTAAAAGAGCATAATTTCTCAGCAGTTCCAATTTAGGAAGTTAAAGCAGTTACATTTAGAGTTCCACTGTGTAAATTATTATCAAGCAATTTCTCATATTTTAAGATGAAAAAAGAAGTCAGCTTTTTTATGTTTCTTTTTTGAACTCCAAAGCAGAAATTGTTTTGTACATCATTGCTATCATGATACTAAAATTTGGCTTTGGGATAAGTGTGTGTTTGTTTTTTCTTTTTTGTACCTTTTAAGGTAACATGATTATACTGTTGTTTTTTATTGAGAAAATAAAAACCTGCAAGTAACAATTTTAAATGAATTCCTATTTTATTAATCATGTTAATGTTAAGTATGTAGTGTTAATGTATGTGTAAGACATTCTTTAGCCTATTTTGCTTTGCTGCAGATAATTTCACAACACCTCAAAACAGTAATTGTGTTGCATGTGTTGAGAGCCATTGATTTCTCACATATTTTGGGTTTATTTTGTAATGGGTATGTACTTTATAGTGTTTAGTACATTGAGTAGTTTTTTTTTTTTAATTTAAATCAGCAACAGCTCTTACAACAGCATATAAAGAGCAAAAGGCCACTGGTGAAAAATGTAGCTATTCAGAAAGAAACAAATGCAGCAGGTCCTGATAACCGATCAAAAATTGTGCTTCTGGTTGATGCTTCACAGCAAACCGGTAAGGGAAAGGTTCTTCGTATGCATCCCTGATTTTTATCTGTGTTTACAAGTGGATTTTATAGCTGTGACTATACTCTTTCTCAGGACTGTAGACTTTGACCCTTCCATGTGTCCTGCCACTTTGTGAAATTCTATAGGAATCATAAAACGATCCTGTCCTTAATGTTCTTCCGCCTTATTTTTTGGCTTATGTGAAGCAGGGTATACTGTTGTCCTTTCTCTTTGTAGTACTGGAGCCATTCAGAAATCAGAGGTAGAACTTTGCAGATAGCGTAGGAATTTGAATGACTTAGTTTGGTAAAAATCAAAACTGTACTTTTTTATAACTAGATTAAAGCCCTTTATGAAACACCCTAACATCCTATACCATCTTTATAGAAAGAACTTAGCAAGTTTTCTGTGCCAAATTTAAGCATGGGTCCAGACCTATGAGTGGTGATACTGTCAGAAAAATAAATATTTTAAACTAGTCAGATAATTAATTAAAAAATTTAAAGTACTGTAATAAGCATTAAACAAGAAAAGCTTTATCCTAACAATAGATACGAAATATCCTCACAATATTCTAAGTATTTTCGAATTTATATGAACTTCCAATTTGTATCGCTCATCTCAGTTTATTATCTGTAGATACCTGTCTTCTCATCCATTTCATCAACATAGTGAAAAATCCTCCTTAACGATCCAAGTCCAAGCTTTTCATTTCTGTACCATCTGTACTTAAATAAGGTCTAGGTTGAAGCCAGGCATGATAGTGCACACTCGTCATTTGCAGCCCTCTTGAAAGGCTGAGGTAAGAGGATCGTAAGTTCAAGTCCAGCCTGAGCTACATAGCAAGACCCTGTCTCAAAAATCATCACATACACACACACACACACACATGCATGCACGCACGCACACAGAAAGAAAACAAAGCCAAAAAGGGTCTGCGTTGCAATGAATGAGATGGCTTATACTTTCCTTCTCTTGGGCTATGCTTTTTCTTTTTCTGTTGGATATTTCTTTACATTCCTTTTACAATTGCTTACTTCCTTTAGGAGTAGAGAAAGGGCCTGGAATCTGTCAAAAAGCCATCTTGTTGACTGTTTGTTTAATCACTGTGTGGTTTGTGGGGCAGAAAGCAGTAAGAGTCACAGACTGATAAATGCTTGGCGTGGCCATGAGAAAAACTCATGATAGGTAATATAGTCTGGAGTTTCTCTTTTGATTATTCCCATCACAGTGACCCATTTTTACATCTTTTCAACCCTGGGAAGGCTTTAGAAAATTTATGCTTCTTTAGTTTGCTCATTAAATCACCATGAAGACAGCCTTTTGAAGTATGAGAATTAGAAAATGAAAAGATTTGAGTAGACGATCATACATTCTATCAGTATTCTTTAGTTTGGTTTTAATTTTTGAGGATTAATTGGTATCAATAAGAGATAGAATTAAATATTATAGCTTGATATAATAAATATTCTACTTGTGATAAATTTTTCTTTTAAACATAAGCTTACATCTATTAATAATTTTAATAAGATGGCTAGATATAAACTTTTGTACAAAAGTTTAATTGTATTTCTTTTATTTTTTTTTTTATTGTTTTATTATTCTATGTACATACAACACTTGGGTCATTTCTCCTCCCTGCCCCCACCCCCTCCCTTACCACCCACTCCGTCCCCTCCTTCTCTCCCCCACTCCCTCAATACCCAGCAGAAACTATTTTGCTCTTATCTCTAATTTTGTTGAAGAGAAAATATAAGCAATAATAGGAAGGAACAAGGGTTTTTGCTAGTTGAGATAAGGATAGCTATACAGGGAGTTGACTCACATTAATTTCCTGTGCATGTGTGTTACCTTCTACGTTAATTCTTTTTGATCTAACCTTTTCTCTAGTTCCTGCTCCCCTTTTCCTATTGGCCTCAGTTGCTTTTAGGGTATCTGCTTTAGTTTCTCTGCGTTAAGGGCAACAAATGCTAGCTAATTTTTTAGGTGTCTTACCTATCCTCACCCCTCCCTTGTGTGCTCTCGCTTTTATCATGTGCTCAAAGTCCAATCCCTTGTTGTGTTTGCCCTTGATCTAATGTCCGCATATGAGGGAGAGCATACGATTTTTGGTCTTTTGGGCCAAGCTAACCTCACTCAGAATGATGTTCTCCAATTCCATCCATTTACCAGCAAATGATAACATTTCATTCTTCTTCATGGCTGCATAAAATTCCATTGTGTATAGATACCACATTTTCTTAATCCATTCGTCAGTGGTGGGGCATCTTGGCTGTTTCCATACCTTGGCTATTGTGAATAGTGCCGCAATAAACATGGGTATGCAGGTGCCTGTGGAGTAACCTGTGTCACAGTCTTTTGGGTATATCCCCAAGAGTGGTATTGCTGGATCAAATGGTAGATCAATGTTTAGCTTTTTAAGTAGCCTCCAAATTTTTTTCCAGAGTGGTTGTACTAGTTTGCATTCCCACCAACAGTGTAAGAGGGTTCCTTTTTCCCCGCATCCTCGCCAACACCTGTTGTTGGTGGTGTTGCTAATGATGGCTATTCTAACAGGGGTGAGGTGGAATCTTAGTGTGGTTTTAATTTGCATTTCCTTTACTGCTAGAGATGGTGAGCATTTTTTCATGTGTTTTTTGCCATTTGAATTTCTTCTTTTGAGAAAGTTCTGTTTAGTTCACTTGCCCATTACTTTATTGGTTCATTAGTTTTGGGAGAATTTAGTTTTTTAAGTTCCCTATATATTCTGGTTTTCAGTCCTTTGTCTGATGTGTAGCTGGCAAATATTTTCTCCCACTCTGTGGGTGTTGTCTTCAGTTTAGAGACCATTTCTTTTGTTGAGCAGAAGCTTTTTAGTTTTATGAAGTCCCACTTATCTATGCTATCTCTTAGTTGCTGTGCTGCTGGGGTTCCATTGAGAAAGTTCTTACCTGTACATACTAATTCCAGAGTATTTCCTACTCTTTCCTGTATCAACTTTAGAGTTTGTGGTCTGATATTAAGATCCTTGATCCATTTTGAGTTAATATTAATATAATTATCTATTAATAATTTTAATAATAATTTTAATAAGATGGCTAGATTTAAACTTTTGTACAAAAGTTTAATTGTATTTCAGCATGCCACTAGCAAACAAAATTTAAGAAAATGTATAATTTATAATAGCAACAAAAATACAGAGTTTCTAGGAATAAATCTTGGGGTGTGTGAGACATATACAGAAAACTGTAAGACTTTATTATTGGACCACAAGAAAAATCTAAACGTTGTGTTTTGCAGGATGATTTCATATTACAAAAGTCAGTTTTCTCAAAGCTGAGTCTGCAGATTCAGTGCAGTTCTAATAAAAATTCCAGTGGGAAATTTTGGGGAATTTGACAAACTAATTCTAAAGTAAAAGAGTATTTGTCTGAGAAGAGCCAAGACTTCTCTGGAAAAGAACTTTTCCTCCATATATTAAGACATAAAGTCATCCTAATTTCTATAAATTTATATTATCAGTGCAATATACAAGAATTAAACAAAAAGGAGAGGCCAGAAACGGACCCCATGTGTGTGAAGAAAACAACAGATAATTTTTCAGGTCCCTAATTTATATTCCACTGAAATTTATTCCAGATGGATTAAGGATTTAAGTGAAAAAACCAATGGTAGGAGAAAATAGGCAGATGTCTTTATGACTGCTGGCAAAGAACTATTTCTAAAGTTAAGAATTTTAATTTAAAAGAACAAACCACAAACTTGGAAAAGACTTTTACCATACTGACAAAGGATTAGTCTGAGACACACAAAGAATTTATATGGTTCAGTAACAAAATGATTGTGTACTGCTCTTGGGGCCTGTGGGACATAATGCCAGGGGGCTGAAATAACTTGGCAGGAGTGTGGGAGTCTTTCTTTTGACTCTGTCATTCCATTGTTGTGAATATATCGAAGTGCAGTTTCCCTTTTTAAAGAGGAAGGGCTGTTTGATTAAAAATGCACATGATTGCAGTGTAAGAAAAACACTGCCACTTCTTAGTGTACAGTAGCAAGTGATAGATATATCCTGAAAAATAAAGACCCTACTCCATGGAATCATGGAGTCTCATACAGTAAAATTGTGAAGACTTGTCATACCATATGTAGAACGTCATATTAAACAGCCCAATGGCAGATTGTGTCCATGTTCTATAAAATCACTAATGAGTAGAGATACGGAAAAGGGAAAACTTGTTATTTATTGTGAGATGATTGGAAGAAGCTATTTTTTTTTTTGGAATGTGTTACTGTAATTATAGTTTGTAAGATTAAAAAATTAAAAATAGCCAGGCGCCAGTGGCTCATACCTGTAATCCTAGCTATTTGGGAGACTGAAATCGGGAGGCTCGAGGTTTGAGGCCAGCCCATGTAGGTAGTGAGACCCTATCTCCAAAATAACAAGAGCAAAATGTACTGGAGGGGTGGCATAAGTGGTAAGAGTGCCTGCTTTGCAAGAATAAAGACCTGAGTTCAAACACCAGTCCCACCAAAATTTAAAAACAGAAAACTCAGTAGAAAATAAGCAGAAGTCAAATAATCCAAAAGTAAAATTTACAGGAATTTCACAAAAAAGGAGAATATTAGTGCATTAGTGGCTAAAAGCATTAGAGAAGCTGTTTAACCTCATTATTAAGTAGAAAAAATGCAAATTAAAGCCCACAATGAACCACCTTTTCATACTTAACAGATTGGCAAAAATTGTAGTCTAGGAGAAAGGATCAAGTATTTGGTGAGTATGCAAATTAATAGGGATATTTTTATCCTGTTGGAGTATAAATTGTTTTAACCAACTTTGAGAGTGATTTAGCATGCTCAAGTAAAGTTGAATTGGTGCATACCCTAAGTCCTAATCATATTTACCCTCAAGAAACTTACTTGCACATGTGTAGATTCATGTGTTATGTATGAATGTTTATAGACGTGTTGTTCACAATAGCAAAATCAGAACAACCAAAGCGTCCCATTAGTGGGAGAAAGGATGAGGCCAGGGTGGCATGTCCATGCAAAGGCATTCTAGATTCTAATGACATTAATGAGTTAGAGCTACATGCATCAGAATCTCAGAACTAGTGTTAAGGCAACAGGGAGCAAGTCACAGGAAAATATGAATACTATGATTTTTTTGTAGTAAAGTTAGAAGCTGCAAAATTACATTACTTATATTTTAGGAATATGAAAATCTATAAAGAAAAGTGAGTGGCTGGGCATGATGGTAAATGCCGGTAATCCCAGCTGCTTGGGAGATGGAGGCAGGAAGATCGGGAGTTTGAGACCAGCCTGGGCAACAATTAGCAAGACCCCATCTAAAAAAATACCATCCAAAAGGGCTGGGGTTGTAACTCAAGTGGTAGAGCACTTGCCTAGCATGTATAAGGCTCTGGGTTCAATGCCCAGTGTCACTAAAGAAAAGTGAGTGAGTGATAAACAGAATTTAGGATAGAGTAACCTGAGTGGGGGCAGTGCACACAGCAGACTTAGGAAAATTAGTGATGATCTCTTAAATGGCTAGTGGTTGTTTTAGTGTCTGATACAAATTTCATAATAGGAATGTTATAAATCAACGTCTTTTAATGATCTTTTCAAAAAGTCACATTTCTCCATTTTATTTTCTTAAACCTTAATGATAATTTAATAACAATTTGTTGAATTTGGTCATCACTTGCCTTGCCTTATAGATTTCCCATCAGATATCGCTAACAAGTCTCTGTCAGAGAGCACTGCCACGATGCTCTGGAAGTCTAAAGGCAGGAGGAGGAGAGCGTCTCACCCAACTGCGGAGTCCTCTAGTGAGCAGGGGGCTAGTGAGGCCGACATTGACAGTGACAGTGGTTACTGCAGTCCCAAACACAACAACCAGCCCACCACAGGGGCCGTGAGAAACCCTGACTCCGGGACCACAAGCGTGAGCGTACGTAGCGTTGCCTTGGTTTCTTTATCATCACCAGTGTTGGTATTACCTTTGTGTCCTCTGCGGATGCTTACAGAGCTATTTTTGTTAACAGTTGCAAACTGACCAGATGGTTAAAATATATTCTATGTATTTGATTATTAAGGAGGAAGAATTATGGAGCAGTGTTCTAAGGTGGTAATAAACATATTTCAACTAGATTAAATTATGAATCATTTTAAAGTATATGATGTGACTAGAGTAGAAAATAATTTTTTTATTTTTATTTTTTTTAGCATGTGGAATCATCTGTATGTGCAGGTACTTATTTTCTGCATTGTTTTGCTATACTTTCTTTGTCTACGTCAAAGTTTTCTTTTTATGCATGAAGCTTGCTGGTACTACAAAACAAAAACAGAATGAAATAAAATTTTAAATCTTTCAGTGGTTCAAATTAATTTGAAAAATACAGCTTTACCAAACAAATTGAGAAAATGCCATCTGGAAGTATTCTGCCAGGTGACCTTTATGTTACTAATAACTGGAATCCCAGTTTTCAGTTTTTATAAACTCAGGGTTTGTAGAAAAAAAAATCAGTATTACATTTATAGTGACTGAATTTTAGTATATAAAGTTAAGGAGCAATTTAGATTCTGGCTTCTCTTGTAAGCAAATTGTATCGTTAAATGTTTGTTATAGGTGGTGTAAATTGGTCCAATGTAACTTGCCAGGCAACCCAGAAAAAACCTTGGATGGAAAAAAATCAGTCATTTCCCAGAGGTGGAAGGCAACCTGAACAAAGAAATAGTTCGCAGGTAATTTGAATTAGGCTGGAGAAATTTGATTAGGTGCAAGATTAATTATTTTAAATTTGTTAAAATAGTGATATAGTGATTATGAAGGACAGTATCCTTAATTTTTGAAGATGCGTATTAAGTTATTTAAAAGTGAATTATGGTATCTGTAACTTTAAAATACCTTAGTCAATAAAACCTATTTAAATATTGAAAAAAATGATGAAGTTCTGAATGAAAGTGGTGAGTATAAGGATATAAAATGGATCATTTTCTTCTTCCCTGTATAGTGGAATAATTTGTAATTTTAAAAAAGAACGCCCTCAAATACTGTTTCATCATCTTTTTCCTATCCCTGTAAAAGTTTAAAAGCCTTCTGTGCCTTAAGTATTGATTGTTTTGAACTTAAGGACTGCAGCTTTGTCATCGGTGTTCTTATTTGACTCAACACCCTCTGTGTGGCAGTGCTGCAGTGATGGCTGCCTCCTGCCATGATGTGGCCAGAGAGAGCAGCTGCCCGAGTGGCTTGAGCAGTGTTGTGAGGATCTGTGAACTTCAGCAGCTGTGTGGCTGGCTGTGAAATCAGAGAGATTGTTTTTTTATTTATTTCTGGGGTGGTGTCAGTATTGAGGTTTGAACTCAGAACATTACCACTTGAGCCCTGCTCCCAGCCCTAATAACTTTTCTTATGAATTTGTTAAATTTTTTGAGGTGGAGAATCTTTTTTTTTTTCTTTTAAGTCAAAATGTTTTCTCCTTTTGTAATTTCTGATAGTTTCTAGGTTTAAAAGTCTTTTAGAAGTAATTTACAGTGTAATGCTTCAAGACATTTTTTATCTGAGATTTATCTTGATGCATGGTAAGGCACACTTTCACAGATTTTCAGAGCAGTTGACCAGTTGCCGGAATGTTGTAACTCATTTCCTTCCAGCTTGTGTCTCTATTAGAATCATTTGCTCATTTCTTAAGGTCCCACTTGCTGTTTCTTGTCTGTTTGCTTTATCAGATTTTTTTTGTGCTCCTACCATGCTGTGTAACCAGCATTTCAATATTTGATAATGTAGGTCAATTCCTACATTCTGGTATAGCTTTAATTTTAAATTATGGAAAGAATCTAAAAACTTACATCTTTTTAAATGGCTTTATTTTATGAAAAGGATAAAAAATAGATGAAAAAGGTCATGCAATGGAAAAAAAATCTCATTTCCTGTTTTTCCTTGTTTTTTCTCCCCTACACCTGTCCTACTGTGATTCATTTCTTGTATTCTCCCAGAGTTCCTTCATGTGAATATAAGTAAATGCAAGTATGAATCTTTTGGTTTTGTCTTGCTCTTACACAAAAGGTAGCACATCCACTCTGTTCTGTGCTCAGTAATCTGTCATTTCTGTAGTAGTACAGAGGACCTTGCTTTTTTTTAAACAACTTCTAATACTGAATGGCTGGTTGCACCCTGTTGATTTCTGCAGTCCTCTTGATGGACACCTGAGTTGTTTGCAAACTTTTGATGTTGTAGACTCACTGAAGTGTCACTCACTAACGTGTGCAGCAGTGGAGTTTCTAGGTAAGGGACTGCAGGACCCAAAGGTAAATTCATCTGTTGCTTGGTAACCACCATCTGATTTTACCAGTTTGTATTCTCAATAATGTGAAGAGTGTCTTTTTCCTATGTAGCTTTAGAAATAGGACTGGGGTTGTGGCTCAAGTGATAGAGTGCCTGCCTAGTAAGCTCAAGGACCTGAGTTCAAAACCCAGTACAGAAAATAAAACAGAAAGTGTTTTCAGGATTTTGGATTTGTACCATGTATTTGGCAGCTTTTTGTCACTATAACAAAATACTTGAGGCAGAACAGGATTATAAAGAAAATATGTTTAGTTCACAGTTTCTAAGGTTAAGTCTGAACAGCATGGTGCAGGCTTTGGCAAGGGCTTCAGGCAGATGATGCAGTGTGTGTGGGAGGAAATCACATCTTAGTACAGGAAGCCTGAGAGAGACTTGGGGTCAGACTCAGGCTTTTATAAACAACTTGCTCTTGTGAGAACTCACTGCAGGAGACCAGTATTCCCTCCAAGGGCAGTGTTCCCAACAACCTAAGGACCTCCCACTGAACCCTACTTCTTGCAGGTTGCATACTCCCACTACCACCATTGCTGCCAGGGGACAAACAGCATCCAAGCTGGTTAGCATGCCATTTAGGTAAAATGTGGCAGTGTAGTTGAATATCTTGCCACATGTTCAAGGGCATTTGTAGAACTAGGCGCAGTGACTCACATCTGTAATCCAGCTACTCAGAAGTAGAGTTCTGAAAGATTGTGATTTGAGGACAGCCTGGACAAAAAGTTTGCATGACCCCCATCTCAAAAGACAAGGTGGGCATGTGGCACGCACCTGTCATCAGACACACAGGAGGCAGAGATCATGGTCCATGCCCTGGACAAAAAACTAGGACATGGGTTCAAAGGGTAGGCTCTGTTTTCAAACCCCAGTAAAAGGGGGTCATTATATTTGTTTTTTTGTAAACTTGTCTGATCATGTCTTTGCTCATTGTTTGAATCTAATGTATTTCTTTGTACTTTTTTTTTTTTTTTTTGGCAATACTGGGGATTGAACCAGAGCCTCATGTGTGCTGGACAAGCTCTCTACCACTTGAGCTCTGGCTCCCAGTGCTTTTGTTTCTATTTTGTTTTTGAGACAGGGTCTCACAGCTGCCTTTGCCCAGACTGACCTCAAACTTAAAATCCTCCTGCCTCTGGCTCCCAAGAGCTGGGATTACAGGTGTGTACCTTTAGGTCAGCTGGGATATGATCTCATCTTTTATTTCTTTTATTTTCTCTCTTCTCGCTTTCCTTCTTTCCTCCCTCCCTTCTTTTTTTTATGGTACAATTGGGCTTTGAAATCAGGGCTTTGCACATGCAAAGTAGGTGTTCTGCTTGAGTCATGTTTCTAGTCCATTTTGCTCTCGTTGTTTTTGGAAATAGGGTCTTTTAAACTATTTGCTTAGGCTGGCCTCGAATCACAATCCTCCCAGTTTCAGCCTCCTAAGTAGCTAGGATTACAGGTATGAGCCACCAGTACTTGGCTCTTTTTTGTTCATTTTAAAAGCAATTTGATGAAATCAAAAGTATCTAGGAGTCATTAATCTGTAATATGAGTGACAAATATTTTGCTAGGTCTTTGTCTTTATTTTTTACTTTGCTCATTATTACTATTGCCAGGCACACTTTTGTTTTAAATAACATTAAGAAGTTTATTTTTATAAATTGACTATTTGGGCTTTAAATCCGTTGAAAAAGCCTTGTCCCAACTCCAAGATTATAAAGGAATTCACAAGTCTTTTCCTCTAGAATATTATGTTCTCTGTCTGTTTGTTTTGTTTTGATTTTTGGCAGTACTGGGGTTTGAACTCAGGACTTTATGCTTGCTAGGCAGGTGCTCTAGCACTTGAGCCACTCTACCAGTCCTATTTTGTGTTGAGTATTTTCAAGATAGGTCTTGTGAACTGTTTGCCTGGGCTGGCTTCAAATCATGATCCTCCAGGTCTCTGCCTCTCAAGTAAGTAGGATTATAGGTGTGATCTACTGGATCCCAGCAGGTCTCTATGTTTTTAATTAAAAGCTTTATTCTATTTGGAGTTTTCCTGTGGATATGATGTGGAATACTGATCCTAGTCTTTGTTTTCTTGGTGGCTACTCAAATCTGTCAACATCATCTATAGAAAGGTTCATCTCTTCTTTACTGATTTAAGAAAGCCACCTGTCACTTACTAGATTCCCACGTGTATTGGAATCTAGTTCTGGACTTTCTGTTTTGTGCCTTTGATCTTTAAATTAATCTATAAACTTAGAATCAACTGCTTTTACATTGTAACATCTTTCTGTACAAGAAGAACATGTCTTCCTATTTTGGAGTCACCGTTTTGGTGTTCTTCAGAAGTGTTGTTTGTAAAGTTTTCCTAAAATAAGTTAGTACATATTATTCATATGTCACTTCCTATGTACGTTTTTGTTAGTATAAGTGGGATATGAAAAGAATCTTAATGATCTTAATAGTGTTTGAAGCCATTATTTCTGCGGTTTTGTTCAGTGTGCTCACTTTCTATCAAATAATCTCTGTGTTAGAAATGCTGGGAGGAATTCCATGTGTGGCCTTTGTGAGGTTATCAATTCATTCATGGTTGGTTGAATATTTGCATTTTTGGTTCCATGAAATTTGTTGGGACTATTAGTTTGGGGGGTTTAATTTAATCCTGGCAAATGTTAGAATCAAGTTGTATTTGTTTTTAAAGAAAATTTGTTATAATGTTTGTAACACCATTAATGGGTATATACTAATTCTCGTTCACCACAGCAAGGATGGGAATAGCTAGGTGGCTGCAGGTCTTTGTGTACCTGTGTTGAGTTGAAAATTCCAGGTCTGCCTCAAATTGTTTATTGTTAAAATTTTCAAGTAACTGTTAATGAAGATCGTACTTTTCACATCTTTTAATTGTCCTAGTTATAAAGAGGAATTTAATATCAGTCACAGTGTGTAATTCATTTTGCAAGTCCATTTTGTGGTCCATTTGGGGTGCTGTGAAAAAAGTACCACCAGGCTTATAAACAGAAATGTTTATGTTGTTCTCATAAACAGAAATATATTTCTCATGGTTCTGGAGACTAGGTGTTCCAAAAGCACTGGCAGGGTGAGCATCTGAGGAGAGTCTGCTTCCTGGCTCCTGGATGGCTGTCATCTTGCCATCTCTTCACATGGTGGAAGGGGTGAGGGATGTCTGTGGGATCCCTTTCACAAGGCCACTTGTCCCACTCGTGTTGGCCCTGCTCTCATCACCTCCCAAGGCCCTATCTCCAAATGCCATCACAGTGGGCATTAGGATTTCAGCACATGAATTTTGGGGACACAAACATTTAGTCTATAACATAGGAAATAATTTATGCGATTGAATGAAAATTTTATTCTTTTAAATCTATTTTCTGGAAGCAAGATTTTTTTTTTTTCTTTTGGTGATACTGGGATTTGAACTAAAGAAGGTGCTCTACCAGTTCAGCCACATCCCCAGCCCTTTTTTGCTTTAGTTATTTTTTGAACTTGAGCTTTTTGCCTGAGGCCAGTCTTGGACCGCTATTCTCCTAACCTGTGTCTTCAGTATAGTTGGCACCATAGGCATGGACCACCATGCCTGGCTTTGTTTGTTGAGGTGGGGTCTCACAGACATTGCCTAGGCTGGCCTGGCACCATGATCCTCCTGATCTTCACTTCCCCAGTAGCTGGGATTATAAGTATGAGCCACCATGCCTGACCATAAGCAAGATTTTTATTAAATACATTTCCCTAAGAATATTAAAAAAGTATAACTAGTTACCCAGTCCAGTTATCAGAAGATTTACAACAGTTAAATTAAAAAACATAATGTACAATTTCCCCAGTGGTAACACCTTGCAAGACTATTACAATATCATAAACAGGGTGTTTCCTTGACACTGTCAAGATGTAGAACAGCTCCATTACCACAGGACCAGTAGCGTTTCCCTTCTATAGCCTCTTTCTCCCCCTTCCCCCAGTCCCTACTCCTTGTCCTCATTTTCCGTAATGTTGCTTTGAGAATGTTTTGTGAATGCACTTGTGTATGCCACTTGCCAGGTTCTCTAGAGGGTCTTCTTGGTTGTTGGGTTGACTAGTAGTACATACTTCTTATGGCTAATTACTGACCACTGTTCTGTTGTGTGGATGTGCCGCAGTCGGTGTTTGGCTCTTAGGAACACAGCTGATAGAAATGCTTATGTACAGAAGATTTGTATGCCATAGTTTCACATTTTTGTTATAATTATCTTACTTGTCAGAAGTTTTAGCTTTTTAAAATAAATGATGCACTTTATGAAAACCATTGACTACTTTTGTGTACTTTTCTCCAAGTGTGTTATACTTCAGTAAAATATTTACTTAAAAAATAATGTTTTCTTTCCCTTCCTGGGGTTACTTAGGTTGGATTCAGATGCCGAGGACACAGCACTTCCTCAGAAAGAAGACAGAATTTGCAAAAGAGACAAGATAATAAGCATTTAAATCCTAATCAGTCTCATAGAAGTGACCCAAATTCTGAGTCTTTATATTTTGAGGTATTTTTTTCAAACTCTATTTATAAACTGTTACAGAAGAATGTTCCCATTAAGAAATTAATTTGGTATATTGTAAATATTACAGTATTTCTGTCTTAATATGTAATTCTACTACTAGGCTGTAAATTACTGAGAAGTATTGATGCATTTTTATTTGCCTTGGTTGTACATGTTTATTATACACTAGCATCTTGCATGTTTATTTTTATAAATTTTTATCCTATGCGTTCATTTTGAGGTAACGTGTAGAAGCAGAACCTGATTCCATGTGGTTGTCCTCCAGTGTGAAACTTTTCTCTTAGTGTTTGCTCAGTCCATTGTAAGATTTTTCAGACTTGAATAGTTCAGTGTAGTTAATTCGTGCTGCCATTTAGAGTCTTGGAGCAGGGAGAAGGATGACTGTTTTACTTCTCCCAGAGGCAGTGAATATCCCAGTTGTCTTATATGCTCCTGTTGGCAGCCCGTTACCCATGTACGGTCAAGAGCCGTGAGCAGCACGCCAGGGTGAATGGTCACACCTTTCTGAGGAGGCTGCTGTGTGGTAGAAGAATCTAGACACATACCAACCTATTGGTTAGACTTGAAAATAGAGCTAAGTTGTGTATGTGTATGTGCAGCCATTTGGAATGAGTAAGATTTGGTCCTGTCAGGCATCCCTAGTAACTCATTGGTGTAAATCCTTTTGCTTGGATCATAGCTCTATAAAATAGATTATAGATGGGAAGCAGGGATTAGACTAGAATTCTTGAGGTTAGAGGACAGTGATGAATAATCAGTTTGACAAGTTCAGTAACTGACCCAAAAGAGTAGAGAGTATATCAATTATTTTATGAAGAATAATTTTAATACATCTAGATGTGGTAGTTTTATTATAGGCCCCTATTTGTACTGTTGGTCCATACTTATACTTAAAGATATTAGGACCAGGAACACAGTGGCTCACACTTGTAATCCTAGCTACTTGGGAGACAGTGATATGAGGATTTGATTTCAAGACAAGTCCAGGAAAAACTTAGTGAGACCCTGTCTCAAAGAACAAGTCAGGTTTGGTGGTGCTTGCCCGTATTTCAGCTATACAAGAGGCAGAGGTAGGAGGATCACAGCCTGAGGACTTCCCAAGCAAAAACACAAGACCCTACCTGAGAAAATAACTAAAGCCAAAAGAGTCTGGAACATGGCTCAAGTGGTACAGCACCTGCTAGCAAGTGTGAGGCCCCAAGTTCAAACCCCATAACCACTGAGAAAAAAAAAAAGTTAGATACAGTTTTCAGTGTAAAGGAGGGTATTGGTTAAGAAATTAATTTAACTAGAAAAGATTGTCTTAAATGTTTTTCTTTTAACTTTTACTCTTACAGTTGGGTGTAGTAATGTGGAACATAATGTATATTAAAAAAATTAATCCTAAACTTTAAAATTTTTTCCAAATTATCAGTATATTATAAAATCTAGTTTGGGTTTTTTTCAGTTACCTACGTATCTTAAGATAGAATTAGTAATAAAGATGGAAAAGTAGACGCAAAAATCCCAAGTATGGACATGTGTGTGATAGACCCCACCTTGAGTAATTAAATGACTAGGTTCAACATGTGAGAAATGAGGTTTTTCTTTATGACTGACTTTAAATACCTTACAGTAAGATCCTAAATAATGATTTCCCTGTTTTTCATTATTGTCATGGCTAAAGATGGAGTTTAGAGGTAAAGCATTCATCCAGCATGTGAAAGGCCTGGGTTTGATCCTCAGCAACACCAAAAAAAAAAAATTTTCTTAGGAGTTGGCCCTGACTTGTTTTTACTTAAAGTGTGAAACTATTTCAGGATGAAGATGGGTTTCAAGAACTAAATGAGAATGGAAATGCTAAGGATGAGAATATTCAACAGAAACTTTCTTCAAAAGTAGTAAGTGACTCTCTTCAGAAAAGATAAGCCAAGTAGAACACCTTTAGAACTGTGGGTATATGTAAGGAGAAATATTAAAGGTCAGTGCAGAGTTCCATGGAAGCATGGAATAGAGGAAGCAGTAAACCTTTAATATTTCTTTTTAACATACCCAAAACAAAGGTGCTTTCCCATGAGAGCTGTCATTCCACTGCTAGATAAAAAGGTACCATTAATTAAATAACATTGTGTAGGATAAATCCTGTACAGAGACCTCCCCAGATATTGTGACATTTTACTTTGGAGGGTTTTGTTTGTTGTTTTGTTTGTTTTCAGTCAAGGATGCAGGCAAGCATCACCCGTTGCATCATGCTGTTTTGTTCCTTTATTTCCCAGTCTGCAAATGGTTCCACCTTCTCATTCTGTTCTTTACATTGACTCCTTTAAAGATTCTAGTCCAGCTATACTGTAGAACATCCCTCACTCTGCATTGTCTTTCCTTATGATTAGACTTTTATGAGCTCACTAACAAGTGCTTTTTTCTGGTTATCATAGTTGGATGACTTACCTGAAAACTCACCCATCAACATAGTTCAGACTCCAATTCCCATTACCACTTCCGTTCCTAAACGTGCAAAAAGTCAGAAGAAGAAAGCCTTAGCAGCAGCACTTGCCACAGCTCAAGAATATTCAGAAATAAGTATGGAGCAAAAAAAACTACAGGTATAGAACCATTTTTTTCTGTATAGTTTGGTAGTTTAGTTGCTGGGTTTGGTGGGATGGATAGAGGGAGTGCTAAGCATCATTGTTGTCACTCATGACACATTTGGTAACAAAAAAATAAATCTCTTCATTTCCACCTTGAAGGAAGCTTTATCAAAAGCAGCTGGGAAAAAGAACAAAACACCTGTGCAGCTAGATTTGGGGGACATGTTAGCTGCCCTGGAAAAACAACAACAAGCAATGAAAGCACGGCAGATCACCAACACCAGACCTCTGTCATACACAGGTATGTCAGCAGTCTGAGCAGTTTGCTGTGAGACTTTAGGTACTGTTATTTCCCAAATACTGTTAATCTAAGTTTGTGTGTTTGCATCTGTATAATTTCTTTTTAGCTGGCTGAAGCTACACACCTTGGAATTGTCTGTGTTCCTTCTCTTTCTACACCAAGTCTCAGCACATCCTGTCTCTTCTGCCTTCAAAACATATCCAAAGTGTTCTCACCATCATTACACTACACCACAGTACCCTCCTATAACCAGCTACCTTTCCCTCCTCCCATCCCCACTTTATCTTAAAAGAAGTGACCTTTTAAAGACACAAGCCAGATTATATCACTCCATGGCTCAGAACCCTCCAGTAGCTCCTTATCTCACTTGGAGTAAACTCAGAGTCCTAAGGCAACATCTCAGCTGACCCTATCACCTCTTCACCCCCATCACCATTCTCTCCTAACACTCTTGGCCCCAGCCACTATAACATCCTCCAGTGTACTCCAGCATGCTCCTAAATCAGTGTCTTTGGGCTTCCTCTTCTCTTTTCCTGGACTGCTGCTTCCCTAGATGTCAGATGTTTGTCCCTCAGGTCCGTCACGATTCTGTTTACATGTCAGTTGGTGTGCATTTTAAAACCACCATGTTTTTTCTTCATAGTTAAAATAAAAATCAAAAGGTAATTTGACTCTGCTAACTGTCCAATTATCCAGTGACAAACATAAACTTTTGTGTATGTGCATGAGAAAATGAATCTGGGCTGTTTTAACAAACATCAGATTTAGAGCTCTAATGTACTCCCTCATTTCCTTTTTGTAGTCTGTATTTTAGAGGGTGGAGAATGGGACAAAATGAGGGGAAGACACCAATAAAAAATACTAATGTTGAGAAGGAGAATTGAGTTTTCTGTTGGTTCTGTTCCCATGTGAAGGGTTGGGGTTGCTTAGTAGACAAAAGGATAAGTGACCGTATATAGTTATTATCCTGTGTGCAGTGTTTAAACCTATAGCTAGTTACCAATTCAGTATAAACCTCTGCCTTCAGTAACTGTTAGTAAAAATAATATTAAATTATATGAAGCTTTATCACTGCATGTTATTGAGATGGGGAGAGTGTCAGGAGCATTGCTCTACAATCTGCTGTATGGAATAGAACTGAGAGTTAGCTGTGTTGGGAGGGAGTATAGCCTAATAACTAAAGGCAGGGGCTCCAGAGACAAGCTGTCTTCATAACTCCTAGTCTTCCATGTATTTCTTTGGGAGGTTACTTAACCTTCCTGTGCTTCAGTTTCCTTACATTAAAATGGGACAGTGATTGTACCTACTTCAGGCTTGTTTGGGGGAGTAAATGAGACAATACAGTATAAATGAGTTATAATCATTTAATAAATGTTAACTCACTATGAAGAGGAGGTTGCTAACCTGTGATATTTCAAATGGCTTATCATTACAACTTGGATTATTTAGCAAATGTTAGTATATACAAATATAAATATATATAAAACATCTATCAGGAACTGATTACAGAGACAATTAATACATACTTTTGTTCAAGAAGTTCAGTCTAGTGGTGGAAAAAGACAAGCTGATCCGAAGTAGTGAGAGCTCTAAGGAAGATGCCAGCAAGTTTTATGAACCTGCAGAAGAGAGAGTGACTTATGTCAACAGGGAACTATGGGAAAGAACTTCATATAAGATAGGTTTTGAGCTAGGCTTTTAAGAGAGAGTATGATTCTTGATACAAATGCAGTTAACCTCTATCACCAGTGAAAGTATTAATTACAAAGAAAGCTACTGGGAAGTTTGAAAAAAGAGTGGGACTGTGGTAGTGATGAAGAAGGATTGTAAACAACTGACTGGGTTTTTTAATAGTAGGGTACAGGAACAGGTGAAAGATGACTCCAGCTCTGGCTTAGATGTGTGGTGAAAAGGGCAATGATAAAGACCAGTATATATAAGGATTATGGAGAATTCTGAAGGGAAGAACAGATGATGGTCTTGTACTTGAAATGCTAGCAGTAGAGATCTTGGTGGTTCTTGTTTGACATGTAGTTAGGAATGTGAAGTTTATAAAGAGCAAAGGAAATAAAATGGTTTGAGGAAGGAAAATTTAGGGTAAAAGACATTTGAGAGTAAAGCCTGTGGAGTGCTCAGATTTCAAGGACAAAAGGAAGAACCAGTAAGTTTGAAAAAGAGTAAAAATGTAGGAAATTAAAGTGAGTCAATTCCCTGTATAGCTATCCTTATCTCAACCAGCAAAAACCCTTGTTCCTTCCTATTACTGCTTATACTCTCTCTACAACAAAATTAGAAATAAGGGCAAAATAGTTTCTGCTGGGTATTGAGGGGGTGGAGGGGAGAGGGAGGGGGCAGTGTGGGTGGTAAGGGAGGGGGTGGGGGCAGGGGGGAAGAAATGACCCAAGCCTTGTATGCACATATGAATAATAAAACAATTTAAAAAAAGTAGGAGAATATACTGTCACAGAAGGCGAGGGAGGGAAGAATTTTGAAGGAAAGGATGTAATCCTTGTGCCAAATGTTAAAAGAAAAAAAGAAAAAACTAGAATCAAGTGCAGATCAGTGAGTAATGCAAGGTTCTGTATGATCTTGACAATAACAGTTTCAAGACAGTGAGCAGGACAGAGGCCAAATTGTAATGATTACAGATAGACTGGTGAGAAGTTTAACAGGGAAGGATAGGGCAGTGATGAAGGGAAGTCTGTCAAGGAAGGGCTTTGTTGGTTTGTCTTTCAGAGAGTTTAGCTTGTTGTGCACACAGTCAAGAAAAGAGTCCAATTAGGGAGGAACTTGAAAAATGCATGTGGAAGGGAATAGAGCAAGATCTAGAGGAACTGAAGTGGAGTAAGAGCAGAGGTGTTTAGTGAACCTTGGACAGGAGTAAGGATATCTACCACCTGTTTTCAGGTGCTTTATAAGTTTATATCAGATGACATCTTTTTAGGGACATGGCAGGAAAGCTCTGCTAGAGCAACTGAGATTGGAGGCTTAGAAAAGTTATAGGACTGGACTACCAGTAGAGAGTGACAGTATCAGCCAGGCATAGAAGAACTGTTCAGTAGCACTGAGAGTGCAGGTGAGAGGCAAATCGGCATCCCTACTGACAATTGATGTGAGAAGGGTGATGGGCTGTGAAAGAACCTCAGGTAAGGGCGAGTGGCAGATTGAGAAGGAACAGGGCAAGTGCAGTGTTTTGAAACTTCAAAGATCTGACTGAAGACCAAGTATAAGGAACTTTCATACTTGAGGGTTGCTGCAGCAAAATAGAATTGAAAATTTCTTTGTTCTTGCTTTGAAACTCCAAATAGGCTAGTTACATTGACTTGTCTTTTTTATCTTATGAAGGCTAAAAAGTTGGGTAGACGCTATACCTGAGGGACCCTGAATAGCCATGCACTGCTTCTACTAATAGTGATATGTATTTTTTCCATGGTAAGAGGATGTTCTTGGTTTTGTAGGTATATCATGGGAAATTTTGAAAGTATATAGAACTAGCCATAGTTGTAAAACTAATGTTCTTGTTTGTTTCAGTGGTTACTGCAGCTTCTTTTCACACTAAAGACTCTGCTAACAGAAAACCTTTAACCAAAACTCAGCCTTGTTTGACATCCTTTAATTCTTTGGACATTACTTCCTCTAAAGCAAAAAAAGGAAAAGAGAAGGAAATTGCAAAATTAAAACGACCTACAGCACTTAAAAAGGTAACCCAAACTCTGAAGATACATATTTTAGGATAAATAAAAGATTTAAGTGTGTTTTGCAAAACTAGTTGTAGTGTTTTAGCCAACAGATTATTATGAAGTATTCATAGACATGCATCTTTATAATGACTGTTTAAATCTTTATGATGACTGATTAATTCAAAGTCAATACCTGGGCATAGTGGTTTATAGCTGTAATCCCAGCTATTCAGGAGGCAGAGGCAGAAGAATTGGGAGTTTCAAGACCAACCCAAACAAAGTTACTAAGACACTCTCAAAAACAAAAGGACTGGGGGCATGGCTTAAGTGGTAGAGAGCTTGCTCAGCATGTGTGAGGCCCCGTTCAGTCCTCATTATTTAAAAAAAAAAAAGAAAGAAAAAACCAGCAGAGTAACTATTATTCTGTGTTGAAAAAGGCCTTCCATACAAGGTTAAAAAAAGATAACCCTAACATTTGATATCCAGCAGCATTAATCTTTAGGAATCAAAAGCATAGATCTTTGCTTTGTTTTTTTTTTTTTCAGTGTTGGGGATTGAACCCACATATGCAAGGCAAGCTTTCTGCCAGTGAGCTGTGCATACATCCTTCCTATTGGTTTGTTTTGTACAGTACTGGGGATTGAACCCACTGTGTCACACAGGCACATGCTCTGCCTCTGAGCAACCTAGCCCTGGATCTCAGTACTAACTTCAGTGCTTGCTCTGTTTATCATTTTAGACAAATTTTTTTTCACTCTCATCTTCCTCATCTATGAATTGAAGATAATATCCAATTTTGTTTACTCACTATTGTTAGAATCAGGATGTGATAATCCATGTTAGAATAATTGGAAATTGTAAAATGTAAATCAAATGAATTGTCTTAGATACTTTCAAACTTAGTCATTGTGTTGGTAACTCTAGTTTGTTACCCAGGACTTAAAGAATGAAGCTTATAAGATTTGTTCAGCTATATATTCCTAAGCATAACTGCTTCCCTTAATTTCATGTATTGTATTTCCTTCAGTTTACAGTGCCTGAAGTTACATTTACCTTTCTGCTGGTCAGTTTCTAGGTAGCCAGGGAACACAGTCACTAAAACCCTCATGTACCTCTGTTTTAGTGTACATTGTAATCATTCAGTGTCTAGTCAAAGAGTGATCAGTAATTAAAGACTGGTATAATGACTTTTAGGTTATTTTGAAAGAAAGAGAGGAAAAGAAGGGACGTTTAACTGTGGACCACAACGTTTTGGGATCTGAGGAATCAACAGAAATGCATTTAGATTTTATTGATGATTTGCCACAGGAGATTGCTTCCCAGGAAGGTAAGGGAGTCCTTCTCTTCTCAAGGAATATGCTAGACTATTCTAAAAGCTAGGTAAGCCATCACTAGTTATGCTTCTAAATGGAGGTCGTGCTCCATATATTATATAAATTTCTTTATTTTTGGAGAATGACTTCTTTTGAAGATACTTTTAAAGGCAGATGGCTAAGGGAGGGAGCAAATGTTCCATAGTAAATCTTGACATTTTTGAGGCTTAAATACAGAATTTGCAGTGACCCCTTAAAATTAAGATCTCAACTAGCGCATGAGATTACTTCTGGAACTGTTTATGATTCTTTCCTTTTTGTCTTTTATATCTGAAACACTGCTGGTTATCTTTCTTCATGGGGCTATTTTTCATTGAGTCATTTTTATTGATTTTCTTTTTTTGCTTTTGGAGAATTAGTACATTTGCACAGTGAAGAGAGAATTGCAAAGCAGAACCCAGTTGGTCAATAAGATTCAGTCCACATAGTTACTAGTTAGCATAGATGATTTTGTAACACATTTAAATCTGATTTATATATAGATTAAGCAGCAGTGTTTCATTATTTTTAGAAAAATGAATTTACTTCTAAGAATTGTTCACCTAGGACATAGTTGGTCAGGATTCTCTTTTATTCTCAGTTTACTATGATTTCCTTTGTATTTATATGTATCCATCCTTCCATCCATCCATCCATCCAGCAAACATTTATTGAATACCATGACATGAATTTCAAAGACTGTGGGAATGGGGAAGCTGGAGATTGGAAAACAGACTTTGTAAGTGCTGCTGTCAAAAAGCTTAGAGTCCATTAGGAAGATGAGATACACTCATACCTGCTAATTACTGGACTGAATATACAAATAAGAACTCATTTCCTGAGTTGAGCTGTTTAGAGAAGAAGCAGGAACTTAATGAAGGAAGCAGTAGAGTCAAGAGTTGGCCTCTTAGCTGGGCACTGGTGGCTCACACCGGTAATCCTAGCTACTTGGGAGGCTGAGATCAGCAGGATCTCAATTTAAGGACAGCCTGGGCAAACAGTTTTTAAGAACCAATCTCCAAAATAATCAGAGTGAAATGGACTGGAAGTTTGGCTCAAGCAGTAGAGTGCCTGCTTTGCAAGTGCACTGCCCTGAGTTCAAACTCTAGTCCCTCCAAAAAAAAAGAGAGAGCTGACCTTTTAAAATTGTGGTTTCCCCATTCCCTCTAAAATCAGGAACCAGACAAGGATGCCCACTATCTCCACTCCTATTCAAGATAGTACTGGAATTCCTAGCCAGAGCAATTAGGCAAGAAGAAGGAATAAAAGGAATACAAATAGGTAAAGAAACTGTCAAAATATCCCTATTTGCAGAGGACATGAGCCTATACCTTAAAGACCCAAAAAACTCTACTCAGAAGCTTCTAGACATCATCAATAGCTACAGCAAGGTAGTAGGATATAAAATCAACATAGAAAAATCATTAGCATTTCTATACACTAATAATGAACAAACTGAAAAAGAATGTATGAAAACAATTCCATTTACAATAGCCTCAAAAAAAATCAAATCCCTAGGTGTAAACCTAACAAAAGATGTGAATGACCTCTACAAGGAAAACTATAAACTTCTGAAGAAAAGAGATTGAGGAAGACTATAGAAAGTGGAGAGATCTCCCATCCTCATGGATTGGTAGAATCAACATAGTAAAAATGTCGATAATCCCCAAAGTAATCTACATATTTAATGCAATTCCCATCAAAATTCCAATGACATTCATTAAAGAGATTGAAAAATCTACTGTTAAATTTATATGGAAACACAAGAGGCCACGAATAGCCAAGGCAATACTCAGTCAAAAGAACAATGCAGGAGGTATCACAATACCTGACTTCAAACTATATTACAAAGCAGTAACAATAAAAACAGCATGGTACTGGCACAAAAACAGACATGAAGACCAGTGGAACAGAATAGAGGACCCAGATATGAAGCCACACAACTATAACCAACTTGTCTTTGACAAAGGAGCTAAAAATATACGATGGAGAAATAGCAGCCTCTTCAACAAAAACTGCTGGGAAAACTGGTTAGCAGTCTGCAAAAAACTGAAACTAGATCCATGTATATCACCCTATACCAAGATTAACTCAAAATGGATCAAGGATCTTAATATCAGACCACAAACTCTAAAGTTGATACAGAAAGAGTAGGAAATACTCTGGAGTTAGTAGGTATAGGTAAGAACTTTCTCAACGAAACCCCAGCAGCACAGCAACTAAGAGATAGCATAGATAAATGGGACCTCATAAAACTAAAAAGCTTCTGTTCATCAAAAGAAATGGTCTCTAAACTGAAGAGAACACCCACAGAGTGGGAGAAAATATTTGCCAACTATACATCAGACAAAGGACTGATAACCAGAATATATAGGGAACTTAAAAAACTAAATTCTCCCAAAACTAATGAACCAATAAAGAAATGGGCAAGTGAACTAAACAGAACTTTCTCAAAAGAAGAAATTCAAATGGCCAAAAAACACATGAAAAAATGCTCACCATCCTAGCAATAAAGGAAATGCAAATTAAAACCACACTAAGATTCCACCTCACCCCTGTTAGAATAGCCATCATCAGCAACACCACAACAACAGGTGTTGGCGAGGATGCGGGGAAAAAGGAACCCTCTTACACTGTTGGTGGGAATGTAAACTAGTACAACCACTCTGGAAAAAAATTTGGAGGCTACTTAAAAAGCTGACATGATCTACCATTTGATCCAGCAATACCACTCTTGGGATATACCCAAAAGACTGTGACACAGGTTACTCCAGAGGCACCTGCACACCCATGTTTATTGCGGCACTATTCACAATAGCCAAGTTATGGAAACAGCCAAGGTGCCCCACCACTGACCAATGGATTAAGAAAATGTGGTATCTATACACAATGGAATTTTATGCAGCCATGAAGAAGAACGAAATGTTATCATTCGCTGGTAAATGGATGGAATTGGAGAACATCATTTTGAGTGAGGTTAGCCTGGCCCAAAAGACCAAAAATTGTATGTTCTCCCTCATATGTGGACATTAGATCAAGGGCAAACACAACAAGGGATTGGACTTTGAGCACAGGATAAACGCGAGAGCACACAAGGGAGGGGTGAGGATAGGTAAGACACCTAAAAAATTAGCTAGCATTTGTTGCCCTTAACGCAGAGAAACTAAAGCAGATACCTTAAAAGCAACTGAGGCCAATAGGAAAAGGGGAGCAGGAACTAGAGAAAAGGTTAGATCAAAAAGAATTAACCTAGAAGGTAACACATATGCACAGGAAATCAATGTGAGTCAATGCCCTGTATAGCTATCCTTATCTTAACCAGCAAAAACCCTTGTTCCTTCCTATTATTGCTTATACTCTCTCTTCAACAAAATTAGAGATAAGGGCAAAATAGTTTCTGCTGGGTATTGAGGGGGTGGGGGGAGAGGGAGGGGGTGGAGTGGGTGGTAAGGGAGGGGGTGGGGGCAGGGGGGGAGAAATGACCCAAGCCTTGTATGCACATATGAATAATAAAAGAAAAAAAAATTATAAAAAACAAATAAAATTGTGGTTTCCTAAGCACAGAAACAGGCCAAACAAGAAACAAGCAGGTGTGGTTCCTTGAGAATCAGGAGTGGTATAAAGAGAATGATTGAGATTGAGTTTGTCATTGCCAGCAACAATTTAAAAAAGAAAAATTTCTAAGAATTAAGTCTAAAAGTAGAAAACAAGGAGATGGGTAATATGTGAAAAGAGCTACAGATCCTTGTTCTTTAATTTAAATCCTCTGTGGCTACATCTTTTGAATAATTTGGCCTTCTCTCATCTCCTCTGGAGATTTTTAGGCTGTGCTTTTGTTATTAGCATTGTATAGTTGTACAGGGGAATACATTGTGACATTTATATAAGTGCTTACAACATAACTTAATTAGATTCACCCCTCCATCTTTCTTCTTTATCTACCCTCCCCCTGTGCTTGATTTTTAGAGTATATTTTAATATATAATAGGAAAGCTTCATTTTTGTAGCAGATGAGAAATGTTAATTTATGGTAGGAAAAATGCCCAACCTGATAGCTTCTGGAAAATTAGAAAATGACCAAAAAGACAACTGTCCTTCTAAATTGTGTGGATTGATACAGAGCTTTTCAGTATTTGAAGTTTCTGAATTCTTTCCCCTCCATCTCATCTTCTCTAGATACTGGACTGAGTATGCCCAGTGATACCTCATTGTCTCCAGCAAGCCAGAACTCTCCGTATTGTATGACCCCTGTGTCACAGGGCTCTCCTGCTAGTTCTGGGATAGGCAGTCCAATGGCATCATCAACAATAACCAAAATCCACAGCAAAAGATTCAGAGAGTAAGTTTTTTTTTCTCATTATTGAGGTTAAATAATTTAAGGATCTTGATTGTAGGTCTCGATTTAGTGTTGTCATTATTGCTTGGTGAGTTGAGCAGGTGAAATACCTAAGATCTTTAAGTTCTTTCTGATTTTGTTTAATAGCTTGTTTTGCTGTATTTAAAGCATTACTTACTGCAGTGTTCATGTAGAGTGATTTGACAGCAAACATGTTCTCTTGATATGATACAGTGTTCTACCCTAGAATCCTGGCCTCTTCATCTTATGTATATAACGTTCTACAGTGAGTTTTGCTCTTCCAAATGCTTTTGCTCTTTTATATACGTTATTGCCCCCTCAAAAAGCTCTCTAACCAATTACTAACATGTAATAATAGGGTTCTTTTTATCTAAGACCCTATTATTATTACATGAAGTTAATGTATTACATAAAGTTATTTGGTTTTTGTTTGTTTAGTTTTTTATGGTGCTGGGGATTGAACCCAGGGTCTTGTGCATGTTATCCAAGCACTCTACCACTGAGCCACATGCCCGCTCCAAGCTGCTGTTTTCTAGATTTTAGAATAACCTTAAACTGTTATTGCTGTGAAGCATTTTAGTATTTTAACATTTGTGCAAATTAATTTCATCTTTGAAAATGACATAAAAAGGAATCCCAGTGTGAAAGTATAATCTCTGAGCGTCTAAATCGTACTGATTTGTTTTGTTCCTTTCCTTATTCCATTGTTTTTAAGTAAATACTTCTTGCCTAGCTTTGAGACGCTAATTAAATGTCAAATAGCAGATGTGGAGCAATTGAAACACTTGGGGAGTAAAATGTTACATATGTATGAAACAAACAGCTTGGAAGAAAAAAGAATGAAGAAAATTGCATCTTTGATGTTCTATAATTTTAAGCTCTTTATGGCAGTTAATCGTCCCTCAGTCTGTCCAGTTATGTCTTCTCTTCTCAAGTAGTGTCATACTTATTTAAACATTTTTCATGTAAAACAAAATTCCCAACACAATTTCTTTTTGATAAAGAAGGGCAGGCCTAGGTTTTCCCACTATATAACTTAGAAATAGACATTTGCTTAATACTAGATTGGATATTATCAATTCTGCTTGCTAAATACCAGCTATGGAAGAGATGAGGAATGCAAACTAGAAAAGATTATATAAGAAATGTACTTGGATGACTTCCTTATTCCTGGAATTAAGACCTGTAGTCACTTCATACTTCCTTTCTGTTCTTCACATTATAGCCATTAGGCATGTGGCTTTTACCTCGGGCCTCTTAGACTTTGTCTTCAGTTTTAATTATTGAGTTCATCTTCCACAACAATAGATGTTCAGAGCTAGAGAGCCATTGAAGCCATCTTGCTAATGCCTTATTTTTATGTTGAGAAACGCTTTTATGGTTGGGACTTATCCAAACTCGGAAGATGAATTGTTATTAGGACATTCAGGTACAAGGTTGTTTTTCTCCTACAGAAGAATCTTTAGCATTTACTGGAATGAAATAACTTTTTTATGTCTTTAGTGAGCACAGTGTATCTGTTTTTGTCACATAGCAAGATAACATTTATATCTGTAGGAATTTAATAATTGGGAGTTCAGATAGTAGTACTTCCCTGAGGTTAAATCCATCCTTTACTCAAATGTTGAAATTCAGAATTGAAGACAATCTATATCACTCTTCTTTCTGTCCTTGTAATTGAGTAAAGAATTTATTTAGAAGCTTTAAAGACTTGACTTTTCATAAAAACCCCCTTTTGGATGTATTTTTTCTTAAAGATAAATATCTTTATAAAATATTAAATAATTTTATAATGACAGAAAATGAATTTAACACAGTTACTTATTTTTTGCTTCCTTTACAGGTATTGTAATCAAGTTCTTTGTAAAGAAATTGATGAATGTGTGACTCTTCTTCTCCAAGAGCTTGTCAGTTTCCAGGAACGCATCTACCAAAAGGATCCTGTAAGAGCAAAAGCAAGAAGACGGCTGGTTATGGGTCTACGGGAAGTTACTAAACATATGAAGTTAAACAAGATAAAGTGTGTTATAATTTCTCCAAATTGTGAAAAAATACAGTCAAAAGGTATGTGCATTTTATTTTTGAGGTGTTTGATATTTATTTGGTCCAAATTTGATAGGGCATTTTAAATTTTTAAATGAGATCCATATGTCTTTCTCTGCAGAAGTGGTCATAAGACAAAATACTGAGCATGAAAAAAGAAAATGAAATTTTTCTATACCTATAATTAAGTAGGATAGTTGAGAATACATTGTAAAGGAAACCCTCATGTCTGAACACTGGTGAAGGATTCTGGTTGGGGCCACTTAATACCCCTGTTATAGTCAGAGTAGGTACTAGTAATAGTACATTTTTTTACTTTATGCAAATATATTCTGCTTTAAAAGCTTTTTACATTACCTTCCTTCAATGTCCTTCTCTTAAAAAAAAAAAAAAAAAAAAGGTCTCTTGTTTATGGTGAAGATTTGTCTCCCAACAGCCAGCAGCTACACTCAGAGGGGGTGTTGGGTAAACTGGTACACTTACTGGGCCACTCTCATTGCCCATTTTGGTGAAGGAGCCACTTCGGGTGTATTGGAGTAGACAGATCCATCAAGTAGCAGCAGCTGGCATATGCACAGGGGAGAAATACTAACAAAACCAGGCAGGAAGTTTGGAAAAAGGAATTAGTCACCATTAACAATTTAAAATAATTTCTTCATAATAAATGTTAAATTGAAATTTGATTCTTGCTGTGCTAATCCCTATGGCCAAACAAAAATGCTGGATTTGAAGGAATTTGGGATTTAATTGGTGGAGAAGAAAATTACATACATAAATGGATATATAGGTCCACATGTAATACAAATTCCAGTCGGAGAGTATGTGTTAATACCATAAGTGCTACATGCTTTCAGAGAATGTTTTCCTGCACTGTTCTGTGCTTCAACTAGATTACCTTGGGGAATGACAAAATTGAAATCTCTGCATATGGTGATTTTCTTAGGTGGCCTGGACGAAGCACTCTATAATGTTATAGCCATGGCCCGGGAACAAGAAATTCCTTTTGTGTTTGCTCTTGGGAGGAAAGCTCTCGGTCGCTGTGTGAACAAGCTGGTTCCTGTAAGTGTGGTGGGAATCTTCAATTACTTTGGTGCTGAGGTAAGAATTTAGAAGACACACACCATCACTCCTCCAACACAGCCCCTAGACAGCATTTTCTATTGTCAGTACATTTAAAGGAATGACGTAGTGATTCTGAAAGGATGAGTGGAAATTCTTGTGTCTTAAGTTTCCTTTTTAGTGGTGAAAACATTTGTTTAGGTTAATCCTACAGGTGTTTGAAAAAGATTTTATTCCTATGTCTGCCAAAGTGTTTTTTTCACCTGAGCTCAACTGTAAAATACTTGATAATTTATTTAACTGCTAGTTGAAGATATCCAGTATTATGTAATGCAAAATAATCTCTTCAGTCTCTATGGTAGTTATATTTTGTGTGGTAGGCGTTAAGAGAGTAAAGAATCCTTTAATGGAAGGAATTTTCCTTTAGAAAATGAAATTCCTAAACCAGTTGTCAGAATGGTTCTTACCCTTGATACTGTCCCGGGGCAGCCTCCTAATTCAGAGCTTGCTATAGGAGCTGATAATACGGAGGCTACTAAATTAGAGTGGCATTTTAGCACTTCTTTGTGAAGTTGATTCTAAAGTACTTTGTGATATCATTGACAGAATCTTTCCTCTTACCATCCATACTGTTTATATATTTAAGTATATCTCCAGTCCAGTTGCTTCCTGTCCAGTTGCTGTGTTTGCATGGAGTTATTTATTCCATTCATTCTAATTTTCATTTAGCTGATATTCTGGTTATTTAGCTCCACATTCTACTTCCAGGCTCTATATTCTGTTTTTATAATCTGCCTTTGGTCCAATAATCATGCTTGCTATCTTGCAAGTACCATATTTTCATCATCTCCAGTGCCATAGGTATCCATGCCATCACTCACTTCCTTTTGGCCTTCTTCACTTATTCCAACAAGAGCATGTCACAGGGAGCTTTCAACTCCTGTGGATTCTGCCATCTTCTACATCCCTGAACACTCATTCCCTTATATTCTAATTCAAATAAGACTCCCCACTGCTCCCTCAACAAGCCTTGTACTATTCTTGGGCCTGTGTCTTAATTCATGATCTTGCTTGTTTAGCTAAAACTGCCTTATCCTCACCCCTTTTCTAGTCCTGTTTTGTATATCATCTTCCTCAGTGATGCCAGGAGTTAGATTTAATGCCTTATCTAAAGCCACACACTTTTTTACCTCCAAGCATTTATGGCACTGTACCTCGAATTATAGCTGTCTCTCATCTCCCTTCAGTCATATACAAAGGTCTGCAAGAGCAGAGTTGCTTTTTCAGTACTTGTACTCTGGTGCCAGCCTAAAGGAGAGTGCATTTGTTGAATTGATAAATTTCTAAGAACCTGTACTCAATTACATTTAGTGTTTGAATCAAGAAATTTCCCAAAGCTTGTGAGAATTACATAAACCATGGTTACATATGTTCCAATGTATTTTGTAAGGTTCTTTTGATTTGTATAACATTTTGTCCTGATTAAAAGTATACCTGACCCTGAAACAGATATTTATTGCTAGAAATATGAATAAAAAATACAGTAAAAATGAACTAATCAGAATCTCTGTGTCTTTTAGAGCCTATTTAACAAGTTAGTAGAACTCACTGAGGAAGCCAGGAAAGCCTACAAAGACATGGTTGCAGCAATGGAGCAGGAGCAGGCAGAGGAGGCCTTAAAGAATGTGAAGAAGGTACCACACCACATGGGCCACTCCCGGAACCCCTCCGCAGCAAGCGCCATTTCCTTCTGCAGTGTTATTTCTGAACCCATCTCTGAAGTAAATGAGAAGGAATATGGTAAGTTGTTGCATACCATTTTAAATGAAATAATTTTAGTGATTAAAATCATTTCCTAAGTAATTTTCCATTTTACCTTTTGTTGTTATCTTTATTCTTGATTATTCATATTTTGCTCCAAATTTTGGCTATACATTTGCATTAAATATGCCCATTAAAAATGAGAATATTTGAGGGCTGGCAGTGTGGCTCAAGTGGTAGAGCACCAGCCCAGCAAGTGTGAGGTCCTGATTGCATATCCCTGATTACACCACCAAAAAAGAAAAAATAGAATATTGGGGACTAAGAATTTCTATGAGACCCTAGAATTTAATTGTAGTGCCAAAATTTTTTTTTAAAAAAAGTCCAAGAGAATCTAAATATCAAAATGCACCATACTATGTAAATATTAGGGGTTTTTATTCTAATATCTCAGTAATTAAAATTTTATATTTACTAAGTACACTAAAGACCTGAATATTATTCAGAGTAATCCTATAAAACCTAGACATGTGGCATTTGCTTTGAGTTGAATCTGATTGTAGTCAAAAAGAAATACAGACTAAAAAACAGTGCTTGTGTTTAATGTTTAACCTCATTTATTGCTGTCTACATCCTAGTAGTTTGTCTTGTTTCTACAGTACCTTGAACTCTTTTAATGAGCTTCTTGAAGTTCCTGATTCATTTCCTTTTTTCTTTTTTTTAAGTATAGCTGCCTTCTCCTTTTTATCTTTGTTCTTTCTTGTCATTTCTCATTTTAATCTTATCTGGGAAATTTATTACATAGCTTATTGCCACTGAGTTATTTATTTATTTATTTATTTATTTAGCAGTTTCTTCCCACTCTTCCTTTTCTGGACTCCTCCTTAGGTGTTTGGAGTGCTTTTGGTAAAGTTCCAGACCAGAGGCACTTAACAAGTTGTCTGCCTTTTAGCAGACAGGTGGACAGGTGTTACTGCTGGCTAGAGGCAGACATGTTTATTTTGCTGGAATCATAACTAGTTGAAAATAAACAAAATAAAGTGCTAGCTTTGTACATAAGATTAACCATATGTAGTGAAACGCCAGATCTCAAAAGCAGACTGCAAGATAAATCTATAAAGCTATGGGTTTGGGGAAATGGCAAGAGTGATAATGGTTTTTATATGGGCACATAGAGAGGAAAGTCACATGAAAAGAGAGAAACTCAGGAGACTTAGCACCAGATTTAAAGTGTTCAAAATGGGTTTATTTGTTTGTTTGTTTGTTTTGGTGGCCCTTGGGTTTGTACTCAGGGCCTCATGCTTGCTAGGCAGGCACTTTGCCACTTGAGCTGCTCTGCCAGCTCTTAAAGTGTTCAAAATGGAACCCTTGGTTTTGAACACTTGACCAAGGGATTTTAGTTTTAATTAATTAAACTCTGGACCTCTCTTTAGGAAATAACTTGTAAGGAAATATAAATGTGACTGTAGAGGTTTTTTTCCCTAATTAAATACTTGTGAAAATGTTCATTTAATATTAATAGTTTTTTTTTTTTTTTAAGTACTTACTATATGGCAACTGGAGTGGGAGTGAGGAGGAGGGATGAGGCATAGAACAGCAAACAGAAAAAGTGGGAGTTCAGGTCAGTGAATGCCTCTCTTAGGAAAGACTTCACAAAGGAACTAACATTTAAGAGTGGTTATCAAGGATGTGTAGGAGTCTGAGGGTAAAGTAGGAAACAACTCGTACAGAGCGAACAGTGTATGCTGAGGCATAGCTTCTGCTGTAACTTCAGGGAACAGTGAGAACTCAGTGATACAGAGGAGGCATGCATGGCTGGGAGAGTGGAATAAAATGGGACCAGAAAGAAGTAGAAGGGTTAGATCATGAAGGGCCTAACTGTGCCAAGTGGAGGAGTCTGAATCCTGTTCCCAGGTGATATGAAAGTCAGACAACAATACAATTAATTCATAAAACCAGTTAGGAAGACATAGCAAATGTATAGCAAGATAAAGAAGGCATGAGCTAGAGCTGAGCTGGGCAGGTAGCCCACTGGTACAGTGCTTGTGTAGCATGCACAAGACCCTGGGCTAGATCCCCAGGACCACAGAAAAGAAAGAAAAAAAGTCATGAGCTAAGCAGTGACCAGAAGTAGTAGTGTTTGAGCTACAAGTGACATGATACAGTGATGAGTTAAGTGGAGTGAAGGGGATGGTAAAAGAGAAAGACAAGTTGTAGTGAAAGCTCACATTAATGTATTCAGCCTGATTGTCATCCATGGACTACCCAGTGATACAGACCATGTGTGGGGCACTTTAAGTCAGGTACATGGTTTATACAGAAAAAAGCTTTCTTTCCTACAGATACTTCAGTATAGAACAGGCCCTCCCCACTCTCAGTCATACTCCATGACAACCTATTTTCGCTCAACATTAATGTGAGTATTTCACTACAACTTGGTAAGAATAGTGTACCTATAGAATATACATAGTAGCTTCAAGGTAATTGAATGATATTTTAATTTAAAAAGTAAAACAAAAAAATAGGGTGGAGGATGTACTTCATCTATTGATTCTTGGTACAGTTCTTTTTTTGTTTTGTTTTTTCTCTGAACTGATTTCTTCTTATTAAGATTGTCACCACTGTATATATAATAACACCTTTTGGCCTTTCAAAATGACTGTGTAAGTCAGGCAACATGCATTATAAAACTAATTTTCACAGGTGTTAAAAATCCATAGATGGATTCATTGCCTATAAATGGAAACACATGACCCAAAACTTAGGCAATATGCTGACTGAATGTGGTCCAAGCTCATGAAATTAGAACTATTTTTGCTGGATATCCTGACTCTGCTATTTGTGAGTTTTGAGTCCTTAAGCTCAATATACTTCTAGGACATGTACAAAATAGACAGTTGATTTTCTTTGACTACATGAATTTTATATATGAATGCTGATGGGTTCCTGATAGTATAAGATCTTTTCTTTCCAAAGCATTAATATATTTTTGACTCTTTGTTTATTTTGAATGCACACTTTTTTTTGAAAATTGCTTTCCCTTTATGATATTTAAACTAGTACTAAAACTAAATTTAAAATTTTTCCGGTCAGTTGTTGAACCAAACAACAACTTTTGTATTTGTTCTTCTCTCTTAATTTGGTGTTTTTAAGTTCCACAGTTCTGAAACGGTGTTGTTTTAAAAAATGTGTCTACTTTTTATAGAAACAAATTGGAGAAACATGGTAGAAACTTCAGATGGACTGGAAACATCAGAAAATGAGAGAGAGGCGTCTGGTAAGCACAGCACTTCTGAAAAACCCAGTAAGCTTCCATTTGACCCAGCTACCGTTGGTAAGCAGCCGTTATTAGTGGCTGCAGGCGGCACTACCTCAGCCACGAACCCTGGGAAGTGTACAGCAAGTGATAAAGAGGAAGTGAAGCCTGATGACCTGGAATGGGCCTCGCAGCAGAGTACAGAGACTGGTTCTTTGGATGGCAGTTGCCGAGATCTTCTGAATTCCTCCATCACCAGCACCACCAGCACTCTTGTACCTGGCATGCTTGAGGAAGAAGATGATGAAGACGAAGAAGAGGAGGAAGATTATACTCATGAACCCGTATCAGCAGAAGTGCAGCTCAACAGTAGAATTGAGTCATGGGTCTCAGAGACCCAGAGGACTATGGAAACCCTTCAGCTTGGAAAAACGCTTAATGGTTCTGAGGAAGACAATGTGGAGCAGAGTGGAGAAGAAGAAGCAGAAGCAGCTGAGGTTCTGGAGCCAGGGATGGACAGCGAGGCATGGACTCCTGACCAGCAGGCCAATCCTGAGCAGCAGAAGCCTAGCAGCTCCACAAAGAAAGAACACTCTGATTCTGCTACACCCCAAAATACGTAACTCAGGAAATGTCCGCTCTCTGTCTCCAGCTGTGTGAGGTTGCAGTCATTATCCTTGATGCTTCATCTCAACATTTTGCACTGTCCAGTAGTTAATTGTTGCTTAATTCCCAACAAATTCTTTGTAGCTTTTAACTGTTTTATTATCTGTAGCTTAGCTTTTATTAGCATCTAAGTGTCTTTCTAAGAATTGTGTGAAAAATCCAGATTTATTTCAACTTATTTTGTAATGAAAAACAATGATTTAAAAAATGAAGACCAGGTTCTAAAGAAAATAAATTTAAAATATCTATTTAAGGTCATTTTGAGAGCTCAAGATCAAGGTTTGAAGGGTAAGAACAGTTATCAATGTTTGTTTCAAGACTAGAACTCCTCATTCTTAATTTGATCAAAAAGTTGTTTAGACTTATTTTAAAAAGAACTGGAAGTAGGGTCAGAAAAGTAATTAACAGGCGAGGGTAACAAGTCAACAAAGTATATTATGTTTAAAAAGTGATGCAGTTTCTGTTTGGTGATCATTGTAACTTATTAAAGTTGGGATGGGCTAAAATAGCTTCCAGAACTTAGGCAAGTGAAGTTACCGTGCCAGATGAGAGCGGCTGGCCTCATTTGTGGAAAGTGATAGGTGTTGTCTGTAATACTGAACAGTTAGTCACCCATGATAGGACCTGCCAGGTTCTGTCTTATATTTGCTTCTTACTTACCTCAGGAATGCTCTTGTACATAATCTTATTTACATAAAATTAGGCAGATTTTGACAGATGAATAATTGTAACTGATTGTATGCACTTACATGTTGACTATCCAGAAACAAAGATATTCTGGTGTGTTCTTTCTTGGCTTCTGTTTCAGGGCCCTCTTGATTTGAGATAAGGATTTTTTTGGCTATCTAAACTTGTCCTGAGTGCAAAACCATTTCATCTTTTTAAAATACACATTTCACACCTAGCTTTGAGTACTTTCCATATAACAGTGACCATAGTTACTAACAGAAAGTCAGGGAAAGGAATTTTGCACAACTTGTGTTCTGATAAGGCTTAGAAGAGGAAATTTTAGAAGAAAAGAGAAAGTTCTAATTGTGCTGAATCTATTAGATGATTTAGAGTGTACAGACATGCAGGAATTAGTTTTTTTATTCACTATTATTTATCTCTGCCCTTCTCTTGAAGTATGTGTACTTGCTTGGGAGAAATTGTACCTGGTGAGCCAAACATTTTATTTCCTAGTCAGTCACCACCTGGATTTTAGTTTATATAATGGTGGAAGAATTATAAATTACCCGTTTTCCATCTGACCTCTTCCATTCCCAGCTGGCGCACGTACACACGCATGCACACACCAGCTTTCCACTGAGAGACGCTCCCATAAGCAGACACAGACTGAGGAGGGAGGGGTAGTTTCTCTGCCCTGGATAGATGGGGCAAGGCTTTGCGTCACAGAGGCAGCAGAGAGGAGTTGGGGAAATTCCTTACTGTGCTAGTTTTGATGTTTTATAATGCTGGCATTTAATTACTGGAGAGATTAGGCTTAGTTGATGAATTGTTAATTCGTTGTGATTCACAATTTGTGAATCATAAAACTTTAGGAGCATTGCTGTATTGAAAATGCCAGTCAACTTCATTAGTGGTGTGCTGAAAAGAGGGCATTATTTTACTGACCTGTAGAAACTGTCACTAATTATTCAATACCTAGAAAACATCATGTAAGGAATGAAGCCTCCGAAATAATGATCATGGATTTACATGTGGCGGATTTTACTGTCTCTACACACTTGGAAGTATTAATTTGTTTAAAGAAATGATAGAGATTTTGAACTACTGACAGTCTTAAAAGTGAATTTAAACTTTTCCTACTTTTTATGGTGTTAATTTCCTTTGCTCAATGTCAGTGATTCAGAGAACTCTTGATCTTGAGGTAATGGCTTTTCAAAGGTTTCTTATATTTTGTATCTATTCTGAACATGAATCGTCATTTTAGATTTTTGACATTTGTATCAAAAGAGAAGTTGAGGAAATCTTCAGAACACCAGTGAGATAATTTTGCTTTGGACTTTGGAAGTGTGTGATTAAATATTTGGTAAATGCTCTCACACACAGTACCTCATCTGCCAGCAAATCCAAGGGACCATAATCTTTTTTATATGAAACAGGACATTTCTAGAGGACAACCCAAGAATTACTAAAGGAAATGCTACTATGCTGAGAATATACTTAAATACATATGGATGTCTTTATAATTTGTTTCCCTTAGGTAAAATTTGGAATTCGTGTATATTGAGTTACAGGCTTAAAAGAAGTGTGAGAATTAGGAAAGCCTTTTTTTTGTTTGTTTGTTTAAGTTAATGTGATTCACTCTTCGGAGACCTAGAAAGAGATAAAATGGTAAGAGTAAGGGTTTATCAGCACAAGAAATAGAAACAGTGATTTTTTTTTTTTTTTGTAATGTGTAGAAGTTGTTTAACAGGCACTGATTAATGTTAGATTTCTATTGTAGTACATAGCATATAAATGACAGTGTGGATTACACTCCCTAAATTACATTTCTGCTTCAGCAGATTTGTTTGCTATGAAGATTACTTCTTAAAAGACAAATGTTCATGATAGCTTAATTTTTGGTTTGAATATGTTTGTAAATGATGTAATATAATTTCTTTTGACTAAACAGCAAAAAAATAACATGTGTTACACATGGAAAAGTTTTTACAGGCTTTAACAGAAAGTCATTTTTGAAGAGATGGTTATTTTATATGCTTCCAGTATTTGGAAAAGAATTAGTCAAAAGGAATTCACATAGTTTAAATATTGATAAACTAATATACAAATAATGTACTTGTCTGATTTCTTAATAATCTGGGGGAGGTGGGTGGGATGGGAATTATAATGTGCAAATGAATAGTGATCTCTACATTCGTTTTCAGCTTTTTAACATAAAATTGCTAAATCGTAACACATTGTTACTTTAATATGTGTATAAAGAAGTATTACTGTTTGTAAAGCTGCTTGTTTGCTTAAAAAAAAAACTTGTCATGTAAGTATTTTCTGTACATTGTGCCAACAGGTTAGAACATTAATCTGCTAAAAACTTAGTGTTTTTTATTTAAATTTTTTTCTGTGAAATAATTTATTTACAGATATCTTCCACCTCCTTTATCCTTTCAACTTTTACCCACATCATAGAATCACCCACTCTTTGCTTAATAAGAAATCTGAATTCTGATTAATGATAAAAATTTAAACTTTGTTGGCACATCACACCGTAAAAGTATTTGTATTATTTTGTAATTTAATTTCTAAATATACCACATGACTTTATAATTTAATGTCTTAATTGTAATGCTCTAATAAAACTAGCAAAATTAGTATGAATTATAACATGAAGAGATTTTCATCTTGTTCTCTTGCTGTATGAAGGATAATTGTTAAGTTTTGGAGGGTGATAACAGCTGTTTTGCACTATGTAAATACTAGTGAGGGTCTTCTGTACTAATAAAATAATTATTGAAATTTAGCTTATTATTTAAGAATAGATACTTGATCTGCTCACCATGTAGGATAGAAAAAGAAAGATTTAGCTCATATTACTCAGCCCTCACATAACTTTACCAAAGAACATTTTGTAAAATCTTCATGAAGAAGTTAGTGAAAGTCTCCTGGGGGGGTTAGTGTGACCGTGGCATGGACCTAGGCATCTAGCCAGAGACCATAGGTGTTGGAAGGCTCCTTTCTAGCAGCTCCTTTGCTTGTGCCAAGTGCTGTTCTAATCCATTTCCCAGTATTAACTCACTTAGCCTCACAATGCCCTGTGAGGCACGTGTCATTCGTACTGTACTATTCACTTTTCAGATGACAAAACAGTCGGAGATATTAAGTAACTTGTCCAAGATCCCACAGCTGGTCAGTGGCAGCACTGGGATTCAAACTCAGTCCTGTTCCTTGTGTCTGCACAAAGTGCTCAGGTGTGCAAACTAAGCATGCATGTCATTACCTTCGGGTGTCTCTTCTGCAATGTAAAACTTGAGGAATGAACTAATCGCTTTAGGGACTGGTTTCTTTGGGGCTCACCTGATCACTCTTCCCCTATAGTAGTTCCAGATTTTGTCACAGTGTCACAATGAAACGCAGGGAATCTGAAAAGAGTCTTGTGTGTTAGAAAGTAGCAGGATGCTAATTTTCCTAGCAAAAGGACGTTTGTTGATCACAGAGAAAAGAGGGATATTGCATCAGTGTATCAGATTTTCCCTTAATCGATGTTTGTAGTTCTTTTCTCATTAATAGTCAGTTTTTCTCCTACGTGACCAGAAGAGGGTGTGCATGGCACTTAAAAACAGTGGAGAGCTATTACGGAATATTCACGTTTGAATGTGGGATAAGGAAGGGAGTATCCTCAACTATAGGCCTTGCCATAAAATGTGCTTAATTCTGAGTTCGCTGAGAACTCAGAAACCATGGGTATTATGTTGTCAAAAGACAGTATTTGAGGACCAGATATGGTGGTCACACCTGTAATCCCAGCCCCTCAGAGGCAGGTAGTATGATTATACTTCAAAGCCAGTCAGGGCAAAACATGAAAAACTGAAAGCAAAAGGACTGGGAGCATGGCTTGTGTAAGGACCTGAGTAGAGTTCCCCAGTACCGCCAAGAAAAAAAAAAAAGACATTTGGACCATGTGTTGAGTAGTTGTGTGTAATTTTGAAATTATTTCAGCAGTCCAGTCAATACTTCTGGCTTGGGTTCAGGTGGTACTGCCATAGGAAATGTGACAGCTGGCTTTTTACATCGTAGGCATCATTGGCCTCCTTGTGGATTGCAGAGGCAAAGCATGTTCCACTAGAATTCCCATAATGCAAGGTTTGAGGAGTTGGGAGGTGTTTCACCTCAAGCCCTGTGTTCCTCCCCAGCCCACTCTCATCTTGACACCATATATTTTGCAACCCTGAGACAAAGAGATGTTTACTCTTAAAGAAATGGCATGGGTAATTGTGTGGCTATAACCAGTCTGTGCGTGTCCAACCTTTCCTTCTGGAAGCAGAAGGTTGGCTTAAGTAAGAATGAGAGCCAAGACAGTTGGAACTTCTAGCTGAGCATGGCACTCTTTATCCAACTGCTAAGGAACCAAACAACAGAATTGTGGCCTGTGAACTGTGCTTTCGGAGGCTAGAATCACATAGCTTTCTGTGGGAGGGAGGGGTACTTCATCTTGGAAGCATCAGGCATGACCTTGGCTTTGAATTACCCAGAGGGAACAGCCTTCCAGGGAACGGGGGTGGATTTGAGGTTTCAGTTGTACCTGTATCTGCCAGAGGGAGGGAGATGTTAGTAAAAGTGGCATCTACTTAAGTGTGTACTTCTTTGTGTCTCAGCTTTCTCTCTCTGCCTGAATTGGAGAATTGAATTGCTTGAGAAATTTATTTATTCATTCATTTATGGTACTGAGGTTTGAACTCAGGGCCTGGTGCTTTCCAAGCAGGTGCCCTACCACTTGAATGATGCCCCCAGCCCTTTTTTGCCTTAGTTCTTTTTCGGATAGGGTCTCATGCTTTTTGTCTCAGGGCTGACTTCCAACAGTAACCCTCCTAGCCACAGCTGCCTGCGGAGCTGGGATCAGTATGAAATCAGAACTGGTGGTGTCCCACCACGCCCAGTTCTATTGGTTGAAAAGGGGTCTTGATAAATTTTTACTGGGGCTGGCCTCAAGCCACAATCCTCCTATTTCCACCTCCTGAGTGGCTGGGATTATAGGCATACATACTGCACCTGGCTTGATCCCCCATTTCTAAAGCCAATATTCTGGCACAACTGGTGAGTTTCTAACAAATGCAGCAACATTGTAATTAAGGTAAAAGAATATATTCCTACTTTACAATATTCAAACACAATGATGACCAAGATCATGACTAACTTTTACTCTTTCCCCTAATACTTAAGATGCGCTATTATTTAAACTATTTAATAAATAATCTTTTACATGAGGTATCCAGCAAACTGCAGCCTATGGCCAAATCAGCCAGCAGCCTGTTTTGTAGCGTTACGTTGGAACACAGTCATGCTCACTCATTTACAAATTGTCTTTATGCTACAGTGAGGAGTTGAGTAGTTGCAACAGACCACAAAGTCTAAAACACTCACCAGCCCTTTACAGAAAAGGTCTGCCAGCCTCTAAAATTGAGATGATGTCCAACGGTGCTTTACTGTCCAGTTCTTTCAGGTCTGGAGATGATGCATCTGCTGGGGATTTGCATATTTTAAACGCATTCAGCTCTGCCTGGTGGTGGACAACATGGGGAGGCATGGGAGGAGTGTTGCCAGATGCTCTGATCATACCAGGCCTTGGGAGGCCTGAGTTTATGTTGTTCCATTCTCTATTCTGTCACATTGGGCAAGTCCCTTGAATCTCTAGTTACTGGTTTCCTACTCAACCCATGAGAGACACACCAAAAGGCTTGGCTCCTCCTTAGGAAGACAGAGTATTCTTTGACCAAGAATGGTCATGAGTTGGACCAGTGTTGGACACATTCCTAAGACTACCATAGCCAAAGACTGCCAGTATCTTCAATGTGGCCTAGCATCCAGACTGGGTCTAGCAATTAAGCCTATCTAACCCTTGCTCCCTCGAAGTTTTGAATTGGAGGCCACAGGAAGCAGAATGGGGCAGGTGTGCAGAGAGAGCAGGCTGTGGGGGCAACAGAGCAAGGAGCTGCCTTCAGTCCTGCTGGCTTTCATGTTTAGTCTGTGCCCATGCCTTTATCAGCACTCTCCTCTTAGTTGTGTAGTTTTTTATGTGCTTGACATATTTAATAATAACCAAAAGGAACCTGTCAACAAAAACACAACCATTTTCTCTTCCATAACTGACTTCTTAAACTCTGACTTCAATATTTAGACAAAGAAAATTAGTGGAGTTCGTAATAGCCAAGCTATGGAAAAAACCCAGATGCCCTAAAACTAATGAGTGGAATAATAAAATGTGATTATATATATGTATTCACACACAAAGGAGTTTTATTCAGCCATAAGGAAGAATGAAGGTTTGAAGTAAATGGATGCAACTGAGGGACATCATGTTAAGTGAAATAAGTCAGGTTCAGCAAGACAAAGCCTGCATGTTTTTACCAACATATAGAAGATAGATCCAAAAGATAAACACATACACAAAAACAAACATGATCATATACCAACTCAGATGTACAACATGTTTGTAGCACTGGAACTACTCTATGGAACTCGGGGGGAGGAGAGAAAAGAAAAGAGAATGACAGACAACAATATCATAATACATAGCTTCTGTGAAGGTAGAGGATATAAGATAAGTATTGAAAACTGTTGAATGCTGGGAGGTGGAAGGGAAAGGGTGGAGAAGAGTAACCTGAGAGATTGAACTAATTAAAGCACACTCACATCAGGGACGCACTGAGAAACCCCACTGAACATTGACTTAGGAATTAATAAGGAAAGACAGAGGACACTCCATACTAATAAAGGGAAATAGACCAAAAGGAAATAACAGTTATCAACCTATATGCACCCAATGTCAATGCACCCAATTTCATCAAACATACCCTGAAGGACCTAAAAGCATATATTAACTCCAACACAGTGGTTGTGAGAGACTTTAACACCCCATTATCATCAATAGATAGGTCATCCAAACAAAAAATCAAAAAGAAATCCCAGATCTAAAATATACAGTAGATCAAATGGACCTAATTGATGTCTGCAGAACATTTCATCCAACTTCTACACAATACACATTCTTCTCA